GACTGAGGAAGGATTAGGCTGGTTGGAGACCCCGGATGGGCGAGAGTGGCTGCAGATTGAGGACGCACATTCCTGGCTGAAGGACAAGGCAGGACGAGACTGGTTGCAGGACCAGGGTGGAGTAGATTGGTTGCAGACCCAGGGCGGGAGGGTGTGGCTGCTGTTACAGGGTGGGCAAGAGTGGCTGAAGACCCGGCCTGGGCGAGAGTGGTTACAGAGCCAGCCAGGGCAAGTGTGGTTGTATACGCCGGGGGGACGAGAGTGGTCAAAGTCCGAGGACGGGCAAACTTGGTTACAGTCCTATGGCGGGGCGAGAGTGGTTGCAATCCCAGGGCGGGCGAGAGTGGCTACAGATGCCGAGTGGGCGGGGAGTGGCTGCAGTCGCAACCCGGGCGAACGTGGCTACGGTCCGAACCTGGACGAACCTGGCTGCAGACTCAAGCTAGGCCAACGCAGCTACAAACTCAAGCCAGGCGAACCTGGCTGCAGGACCAGATGGCAGAAGCCTCGCGGTCGCTCCTGATCACGGAAGCCTTGAGGTTAAACCAGTTCAGCAATGTCCGGTATCATGGCGAGCCAAACTGGCTGCTGTCCCAGGGTGGGCGAGAATGGCTACAGATTGAAGACGGGCGTTCCTGGCTGCAGACCCAGGATGGTCGAGACTGGCAAGTAACTCCTGCAGCGTCTGTGTGGGCAGCGATGGAAGAATTCTCGAGCGCAGTCGGAGCCATCAGAGAGTTCACAATCACCCCAGGATCGCGCATGCTGCCTGCTCTTCAAGTAATCGAGCAGTTCGGGAGCTTGTCCGATGTCTTGATGTTTCCGGCGTTTCTGGCATTAGGCCCCCGAGATCATTCCATCTCTGCCTCCATCTCTGCCTCCACCTCTGCCTCCACCTCTGCGTCACCACATGGTCGTCTTCCGCCAGATACGGGGATCTTACGTGCTATGAGCGGCTTTGTGGCATTCGCACAAGAAGCACGGGAACAGAGTCAAGCAACATCTGGCGCTCTCAATTATGCATGTCAAAACTGGGCCTTCCATCTCTCGCAAGCTCCGAACCAATGGGACGACGGGTTTAAACATGTATTTAAACTCTTCTGGGATTATCACTCCCTCTCCTGGCTTGAAAGGCAGTGGTGTTTGAAGGGTCTGGAGTCTTGCCTTGTTGTTTTATCCGAAGGGCAGAGACTTGCGCAGGTGTGTTTGTTTGCGATTTCGCGACTTGGTGCCTGACCTACGTGTATAGGTACATCTCCAAGCTCCACAGTCGGCTCAATCACGAGCTTGAAGCTATCACCTGTGTCCAGCTTCACAACGACCTCTTTCGAATGTTTCTAGCGCCCATGCATTCAGCAATCCGTGCGTTGATGAGTCGAGGGAGCCTCTAAGTACAGTTGGAGGCGCGGTGCAAATATACCCGTACCCCGCCCGTTACCTCTTGCACCCACCTGCTGCCTTTAACCGCACTGGTTCCCACCTCTTCCCATCTCTCGCCACCTCCAACTGTCTTTCCCAAATCCTCATCGCTTCGTTATCTCCTACTACCACCTTTCACCACTTTCTCGTCTGCCCAATACCCAGCTGACGCCTCAGGCCTCAGGCCACACCCATGCACAGCCACCATCCCCCGTCCTGTAACGCTATCACTGATCCTCACCCATTCATGTACACTTACATTCACATTCACAATCACTAAGCTCCCTGGTCATCGTTCCCTTGCACTCATATAGATATATTTTAAAATATACTTTATTGTCTGTATTATAGACAAGGCAAGAAGGATATTAAGAGGAGCAGCCCACCACAAACGTCTATGGCAACGTTCTTGCAGGCTGTCTCCTCATCTATTGGCAATAGTACTATTATGCGTTCTCGTCGATTGTGTACTCTGGATAAAGCAGTCAAGATGTGTAGACGCCTACTACTAACTTACTAAGGTCGCTGTCAATGGTGGCTGTGTCGTGTATGCCCTTCTGCTCGCTGTGCTCAAGGCTCCAATGCGATGATAGCAAACAAGAGTCGCGATTTTCACGACTTCTTTATATTCGCAGCATTATCTTTTTTTGCGCTTCTGGTGTTCCTTGTCGTGAATGTCTTCCAGAAGGTGCGACAAACCCCGAAATTGCGCTCAGTCGCCATTCTCGTGTTAGGCGATGTGGGACGCAGCCCGCGAATGATGTACCATGCAGAGAGCTTTGCGAAGCTGGAATTTGACACCTATCTCATTGGATACGAAGGTGAGAACTGCTGGTATCGCATTTTTTCAAACTGACATTCGACACGTCCGAGTCAGGCTCCAAGCCGATACTTTCGCTAACCTCCCTCTCGAATATCAGGTTGTCCTACTTGTCAGAACCACCACCACCTGTTACGCGGATTCCTTTCGTTCTAGCCGCTCCGATCAAAATTCTATATCAGATAGCCACCATTCTATACACGCTAGTCTTTGATATACCCCGCCCGCCCGAGTTTATCATGGTGCAGGTATGAATATAAATGTGGCTGCCACCTTCAGCGCTCGAATATATTTTTGCAGAATCCCCCAAGTATTCCCACTCTCGCTTTAGTGTGGCTTGTCGGAGGGATAATGGGAAGCAAAGTGATCATCGACTGGCATAACCTCGGGTATAGCATTCTCACATTGAGATTGGGGGAGACACATCTGCTCGTCAATATCGCGAAACGGTATGTTCATCATCATTTGTGCCAAGCGTTCTTTACCATCCTCCTTTAGCTTTGAGATCATATTCGGCAGTTCTGCGTACGCTCACCTCTTCGTTACAAACGCTATGCGAAACCATCTGGAGCAGGAATGGGGTTTGATGTTTGTCTGATTGTCTACAATATCAACTTATGATTAATTACTGGTTCCAGAGGACACAAGGCGGTCTTGCATGATCGTCCACCCAGCCACTTTCACAAGTGTCTACCTTTAGAAGTCCATGAGGTACAAAAGTGACTCTGATATCCAGTGGTATCTGACACCTTTGATGTAGCTCTTCATACGGCTTGGACGCTCGATATCGCCATCACTTGTCGATTTTCTCCCCAGTGCGTCGCCGCCATATACGACCCAATTCACCGAAATACTTGGACTCCTACCGTATTCAGCTTCTCACGCACCTAGCTCCCCGACTTCGCCCAGTCTTCGAAAAGATCGCCCAGCGCTGCTGGTGAGCAGTACGTCATGGACACCAGACGAAGACTTTGGCATTCTCTTGGAGGCATTGAAGCTCTACGAGTCTCGTGCTCGTGAAGTAAATCTTACGAATTATGAGAACTCGCAATCAAAACACGATTCAAAGGAACGACAAGTCTTGCCTCGCATATGGATGGTCATCACAGGCAAAGGGCCGCTTAAAGAACGATACATGGCAGAAGTGGAGCTCTTGCAAAAAGACTGGCAGTATGTCAGGTGCACCAGTTTATGGCTTGAAGCCGAAGACTATCCCCTTTTGCTGGGTAAGCCGTTCGCGCATGGTCACAAGTTCGCTCACCAATCTTATCTAGGCTCTGCTGACTTGGGCATATCCTTGCACTCAAGTTCGTCCGCGCTCGATTTACCAATGAAAATCGTTGATATGTTCGGATGCGGACTCCCCGTTTGTGCCCTCGATTTTGCATGGTGAGAACCCGCGTGATTAGACCTCTGTCATATTGATAGCCGCATTCGCAGCCTTCCAGAGCTTGTCAGAGACGGTATTAATGGCCTGGTTTTCAGGAATGCGTCTCAGCTCGCAGAGCATCTGGAGGTAGGACCCATCCCCCCTACGATATAGATGAAGACTGACTACGCATCATAGACCCTCCTCACTTCTTTTCCTTCGTCACCTGCACTTGATTCTTTACGGAAAAATCTGGAACGAGCATTACAGGTACCGCTCAATGTCGAGCGTCATGTCCATAATCACGAACACCAAGAAGGTGATGACAGGGAGTGGGGTTCTTGGTCAGAGAACTGGAACCGTGTTGTGAAACCTTTGGTGCTGAGAGATTCAGGACGATTTGGTTGAATTCTGGGTCTACTTTCGGAGCAAACGATCTCAGTGTTGCATGGGATATTGATTATAACTGTCATTAATTACCTGGACTATACAATCATTTGCAATACCAATCTTATGTTATCGTTCGTGTACAAGCAATCTGTTCGCCTTGGAACGTTTACCATGAATTACAATAAGAGATGTTTGTACACTACGTTTGCTGTTAGTGCCTTTTCTCCTCTTCTCTCTCAAATAGTGTTCGACCGAATGGCGCGCCGACATCGTACTTTCGACAGTGCGGTGTAGAGTTGTTCGTGAGCAAACGGATGAGTCAAACTCAGAGAAGGATTGATAAATTCATCCACCAGTAATGTTGTCTCGTCGCTACCGTGCCGCTGATCCGTCTCAGAGAGTATTTTCCGCATCGCAAAGAGTAGACTTAGACATGGAGATAAGCGCATGGCACGCAGACTGCAGGCTGCCGAGCACACACTGACAGGGACCTGGGAGCCGGGGTGGGGCTTAAATGGAGCGCATACAGAATCAAACGAGTTGCTTCCGCGGTATCAAACGTTTCGTCCTTAAATACGTTAGGCATATGACCGCATGCCCCGTAGCACCCACCTCTCAGTCCGTGGAACACATCCATGGGTACTTTTCAGCCATGATTTCAAGGAAGTTGCCATCTAATTATGTCATCGGCACGTCCAACTTGATTATGTAATGGTTCTTCGTTTGCGGAAAGAATGCTGGCGCTCTCCAAGCTGGCAATTCCAAGCCGCTAAGCGGACCGAATCTTCCTGGCAGATGGACTTCGAGGGTGGACTCGTATCGTGTGCGAACGTTCTAAATTGATCATCCTTGGTTATTTAGAATCCCATCATACAGATGGATATCTTTACCACTGATTCGTGCCTGTCTTCACATCAATAGTCCTTACGAACGTGCATCCTCGAATCTCTAGCCCATATAGAGTGAATTAGCGCCTCAGGGGCCGACATCCTTTTTTTCACGATGTCCACCGTGGTGTCACCCTCGAAGGAGGGTAGCTCGAGCGACCATGAGGATCTGGCTTTAACGAGGCCCGCGTTACACCCACCAGGCAAAGTGGTTCGTGGACTTGCGTCGCAACTGTTTGATTTTATTCCAACTAGAATTTCCAATAGGTCGTCGCAAGTTGTTCATAATCACCGGGATAGCTGGCGCCGTTGTGGTCGTGCTCGCTTTGGCTCTTGGTTTGGGGCTCGGATTGGGATTGAAGAAAACGTCGAACTTGAGCTATGTCACGACGAATTCTTCATTTCTCCTGGATCAGAATTTTGTTGTTACGAACACAACGACAACCAGATACTACGAATTCATCATATCTGAAGCAGTCGGTTCACCTGATGGTGTCGAGAGAACTATGTTAGTGGTGAACAGTACGCCACGTTACTCCATACATGATGATGATCCCACTGACTTTGGAACTTTAGACCAATTCCCTGGCCCTCTTATTGAGGTGAACAGCGGCGATGAGCTTGTGGTTAATGTTTTCAATCAATTACCCAATGGCACCACTATTCACTGGCATGGTCAACTTCAAAACGGGACCAACTACATGGATGGTACCAACGGTATCACTCAGTGCCCTATTCCTCCGGGAATGAATTTTAGTAGGTTTACTTCTTGTGACCACGTTCCACGAGTCTAACATATTTAGCCTATCGTTTCACCATTAATCCGAACCAGTACGGAACGTTCTGGTATCATGCCCATGCATCTACACAGTAAACATCTGCAGCACATGGTGGTTTCCTTTTGAGGCTAACGTGAACAAAACAAGGTACACAGATGGCATTTACGGTCCACTTATAATTCACTCTCTCAGCGAGCCTATTTATGGCCAATATGACCGCGAGGCGCTTGTCATACTTTCGGGGTTCGTATCGGTATTTTTTTTTGTCTGTGTTCTCAGGGCGACTCTCTTTCTAGATTGGTATGATGTGATGTCTTCCGGATTACTCACTCAGTACTTGAGCTCTGCTGGAATCGATGGCTCCAACTATGGTGGAGTTAACCCTGGAGCAGAACCTCCCCCGGATAGCGGTCTCATCAACGGCAAGATGAACGGTTCCTCATTCGATCTTCAACCAAATTTGCGCTATCGGCTTCGTCTCATTAATATGGGCTCACTGACGGAGTTCATGTTCAGCGTAGACTCGCACGTGCTGAGCGTTGTTGAAGCAGACGGGACATCTCTTGTACCTGTGGATGTGCACCGTGTCCCTATACACGTCGCACAGCGCTACTCTGTTATCTTGACGACAAATCAGACAGCAGGATCGTACAACGTACGCGCCGAGATGCAGGCCACTTGCTACAAACTCAGTAATCCAAACCTCAACACGATGGTGCTGGCTACGATGACATACGGTGCCTCGCCAACGACACCAAACACCCAGGATTGGTCGGACGCATTCCCCTCCCTTTGTCTCGACCTCAACAGCACAATGATTGTACCCCAAATTGCCATGAACCCACCCAATAGCACGGACACCGTTCAAATCTTCATGTCTTTTCAGCAAACAACTCAATCTGGCGGAACGCAAACGCTGGCATTCATGAACAGCACGAGTTGGCAAGCAGAGAGCACGAATCCTACCTTGCTGCAGATGTCAAAGCTCGGGATCCAGACTACCTTCGACTCAAGCCAACTTGTCATTACCAATGATAATATCACTGTCGTTGACTTAATCTTGAATAACTACGATGATGCTAGCCACCCGTATGTGCCGTTGATTATACATCAGTCCTAGTCTCTTGTGACTAACGCACCGTGTAGATTCCATCTTCATGGGCATGTATTCTGGATTCTTGGTGAAGGTGATGGCGATTACCAGTCTGGGGTGTCGCAATTCAATACGACCAACCCGCCGAGACGCGACACATTGACTCTTCCCGGCTATGGCTGGATCGCCATCCGCTTCATTACCGACAACCCAGGGCTCTGGGCATTCCATTGTCATATTGGCTGGCACATGGCTGCAGGGCTGTTGATGCAATTTGCGAGTCTACCGAGCCAAATCCAGCAGTTTGAAATGCCATCTTATTTGAGTGACCAATGCACACAGCAGAGTGGGGGTTTGGTGGCAAACTAGTGTGCAGTCTTTAGGCATACTCGTACATTTTCAGAAGTCATTCACACTAGATAAATATTATGTAGAGAATGATGTATGTCGAACGGTTGAACGTAAAGACGGCTGAGGGCAACTCAGACTAGAGAGGGCTTGTGATACAACGACTCAAGATGCAGATGAACCAGCAGCAGCCCTCGAGTTCTACAATTCCAACACATCCTTGACACTCTTCCACTGGTGCCCAGGCCATAGTGCATTACCGCTATGAGCATTCTCCGGGATGTCCTTGTCGGCGTAGTTGTCCCACCCGGAGCTGCCTCGGCCCTGCTCAAATAAGCCTTGCAAAAGAGTCTGCTTAACGTATCCTTCGGGAAGGGAGGTGACATGCTCTACTGCAATATTCTTGGATGCATATAGGGCGCCAACTTTATTGAAGGATGTGCGTTCTCCCTCGATGCGGAACGTAGCATCATGGAGTTTAGCCGGTGGGAGGGATGTAAGAATGTGAGCGGTAAAACCTAGATTGTATCCCATGTCATTATGTATGATCATTGAAAAATGATTATCACAATACCTGCAACGTCTTCCAAGGCAGTGGTAGAAAAGGAAGCATCACCCTTGCCAAGGACCATGAACTTCCCGGTGTCAACTCCAGCGAACTGTGGGAGGAACTCCATGAACATCCCGGTCTGTGTCAAAAGGTGTTACTAGTTCTGCCAGATGTATGGGATAAACGAGTATTTACATAGAAGCGCACTGAAGGAATGCCCAATGACTTCAGGTAGTCTACAATACCACGAGCGTTTAACGACTTCCAACTAAACCAGGCACAAAATAAAAAATCTCACCAGCAAACTGTGATTTGATGACCAGGTGACCACCCTTGCCTCCCTCCGTAGGCAGACCGAATTCATGAGGGAACGAAAAGTTTTACACCAGCTTCCTTGGCAGCGTCAGCGATAGTAGACTGCGCAGGTAATGCGCCGTATGCCAATGCAGAAATCACGACCTCCACTTTATGCTCGCGGAGAATGGAGGCGACTGCTTTGACGTCAGCATAGTCGGCCGTGGCAATCTTTGCGCCCTCGAGGAGTGGGCTGCTGTCGATGTACTCGAGGGTCGAGCGAGAGCAACTACTGACGCGCCCTCGCTCAAGCAAAGCCTAGTAAACAGTCAGATAAACTGAGGAAATACAATCAATAGTTATTGAATCTTGCCTTCACGATACGGCCACCGATTGTGGGGCCTGCGCCTGCAACTGCGAAGGAGGTGTAGAGAGACATGGATAGTGTAGGGAGGGAGGGAGGGAGATAGGGCGACATGTACCTCAAGCCTAGACTCGTGACCAGTCTGATGTACGTCCTTTGAGAGTGGGAATCTTGACGTAGTCCAGGCTGGTCTCGAGCCTACCTCAGGCCGTCATAATGTTCAACGGGCATGGGAGAGCTGTTTTATTTTGTGCTTTATTACTTCAAACTATATATATCACATGATTCTAGCAACGCGTGACGTAATATCATGATGGATAACGTCACTCTGATCTCAGCGACTGACGCGCGCTAGAATCTCATCAAGAACACTCACCACACACAGCGCTCGTAGCTTTGAAATCTACTCGTAAGTTACATTTACTCTTTGTTCACTAAATACTAAAAGTCTCACATGTGTAAAGGTATACTAGCTAAGTTATAATGGTCGTCTTCTTTCAATGCAGTGATGTCCATGAAGATGCTATCGTGTTCGGCGAGCCCCTCAAATTTTCAGAAACATCAAGAGATGTACAACCCCCTCCCAAGGGCAGATTCCGTCCACTCGTTTTCCACTCTTGATAGCACTGAGCTTCCTGAACCGACCGGTTTTGTGTAGCCCCGCATGAAAGCACAGGTAATTTCAAAGCAGCTGACTCTCCTATCCAACTGGATCAGGAGATATTATCTACACACGGTCCTTCAAGCTCCAAGCCACCACCGTTGAGCATGCAGATCAACAGCGTTGACATGGAGCAGGCGTCAACAGCTCTTCAGAAGGTCTCAAATAACTGCACAACTTCCGCATGCGTGAACAAGGACGATGCAAAGAATTATTGCAAGGTTAAGGAAAGAGAGGGGCCCCCGGAACGACTAGCAGTGAACCTGGCCAAGGACGTCCTCTCAAGCGGGCTAGATCTGATTGCGCTACCGCTCAAAATCACGAAACTTTTTACATTTTGGATGCCAATACTCTCATCGAGGTTGATGGGGTGCTGTTCAAGCTTCATCGTTCCAGGCTGGTCATCAAGTCTTCATTCTTCGCACAGCTTCTTGAACATAACCTCAAAGATGATTTCCCTAATAACGACGATTGTGTGGGTGGAAAATAATGGCAAGGTGATGGTATACCACCTCGGTAACATTACTACGGTGGACGACCTCGTGGCTCTCTTGAAATTTGATGATAACCCAATGTAACGTATATCATTATCTTTGCATGGATCAGTCTGACTATCTTTAGCGAATATTACTTTCAACCTCCCCCATTATCAGTTTCTCGCCCCCATTCTCCGTGCTGCGACTGCCTTGGGCTTCGAAACGTATCGTGTTTGGGCAGCTCAAGTTCTTGGGCAAACATGGACATCCTCCCTGGCAGATTTGACCTCCGAGCCGAAGGAAAATGCTGCGGAATTTATTGCCCTTGCACGTTCATGTGACGTGAATAGTGGTGTGAAGCGTGCTTTGTATGAACTTGCCAGAACACGCGGGATTGGTCTGCATGGCAACGACGTCCTTGGGCAGTCAGGACTCGAGCAGATTAGCCATGCAGACCAGAAGTGCGTGGTTCTCATAAGAGAACTGTCGGTCACCACCTGGTCAGAAATCGCTGTGCGAATTGGCATGTCACCTTGCCAGGGGGATAAAGTCAATACATCTACCCCCTGGAACAAGAAAGCGAAGTTTTCCGTATCACAAGGTACTGCTATATTCCTGGTTATTTTAAACGTCTGACTCATTCTTTTCATCACTTGCGTCAGAGACATGTTCATTTGAATATGGCATCCAGGATGCCTGGAACAAACGCATCCATGACTCTGGGCTGTACACAAAATTTCTATTTGATCCGGTGTGCGGTGCCCAGGCGTTGATCGACATTCCGTGGGGGGAGGAAGGCTGGTGTTCTCATTGTATCCGGTCAAAACGAGCTACGTGGAAAAAGATACGAGAAAAACTTTGGAGTGACATGGACAAGTGGATTCCTGGTCATGAATGATTATGTAGCAAGATACTGAACAGACAAGCCCGAGATATGGTGTACGTGAACACTTCTACGGCGTATATACCGGCTGCTATTTTGACTCTCCACCATCAGACTGCTGTTTGACGTGCCGAACTTGAACTTGAAGACTCGTGGCTTTCCTGGAAATGGATCATCTTATTGTGGAGGTGGCGGTTCGTCCCCTGGTTGTTTGGGATCGAAGCGATATTGTATTTGCATAGTCTTTTTTCTAGTCGCATGATGAAATGTTGCAACCTCGTAATGAATAAAAGAAATATGAGTATGATTATTAATGGGCGGTCTTATCGATGACTAGCACTGCGATAATCGTTCACGACCTGCAGAGCTTCTCTAAGTTTAGCGAATGGCTAAGCTCGGAGGCATGTGTTTGTCCGAGTGGTAGTTGTTCGAGCCTTGCGCTGCGATTCGATATTGCAACTTCAGTCATGACATGGACATTTGGTCTCCTGAATTCGTTCTAACAATTGGTCTGGACTTCAAAGGTCAAAACATGGAGGTCAAAGGAAAGTACATTTGCATTGAGATGGTGAGTAATATTCGACTTAAGAATGGAACACCCAGGGAGTGCACGTGTGGGATGTGATAGGAGGACGTTTTCAAGCAATCACAAACCACGGGATCGATGGCATCGTGAAGGTACATGACACGACGAATCAGACGACCTTTGATAGTGAAATCATCTTCGGATATTTAGACCGTTCACCTTATTCCGATAGACATCCGTGCGTGACACGAGCGTATCAAGCAGAGTGTGTTAAAGCAGACGGGCTGGACACACAGACCGTGACGAAGGAGCAAGGGAAAAACGTTAGCAAATCAATTGGGCATCAAATTTATAGAGGCTCACTAGCAAAGACGAACGAGGGCGTAGACGATGCATTCCTGGTTATGACAAAGTTAGTGGCTCTTTGTGCATTGCCAAGGCAAGGACGCAGCCCTCCTGGTGACAAAGTGCACAACTGCGGAGACAAAGATGTGAGCGCAAAGATAGAGGTGGTCACTCATGCATCCGAGTCATGGTGGAAATGAAAATAGCAGTGTGCGGAAGAACAATGGCCAGCATCAGACGGATTAGTTTCCAAATATCGTTGACAGTGGGCAGGCAGGGCTTGTGCAGATTGGCAAATAAAGAACCCTTTGTCACCATATCACGAGGAATAACTGCTTCCTGGTTATTTATGTGACGATGCAGTGATGAAAAATCAAATCATAAAAGCTTTACTCCTTGCCACCGCTTCCACACCACCGTGACAGTGCCACCAATACGTGTACAGTTTTATCATGCCACGGTACAGATATGACTTGCAACACATCGCTCCAGAAAAGAGGGACTCCGAGCGCAAAAGACTATGGTGCATTGAAAAGAAAAAGGATCCTGAAGTAGAACAGAAGATGAGAGCACTGAATACCGAACATAAGCGAGCTTCACGGCAGCGTCTAAAAGCGGCGAAACAACAAAGCATTGGCAACAGTCATTTCGACCCTTCCCATAGCGGTGAAGACAATCATGAAACCAATGCTTCAGTTCATACTTCTCCAAAAAATAGATCCGATATTAAAGCAGAGGACGCCAATTCTACGAGGTCAATACCGATATCGTCTGGCCATTGCAATTCATCTAGAGCTAAAGCACAACCATCTGGCTCCACTGTGACTGGGGTGCGCACTGAACCTCCCCGCGCGCCTTCTCAATCTCAAACCGTTTCCCCTGCCGCCATACGACATCATCCGATTCATCCCTCCATCAGAATCAAACATCGATCTTTCCGCCAAGGGTTGTCTACAACCAAAGGTAGAGCGGAAATATTCTCTCGAGTCTGATATTCCTTCCTTATCTGAGATGGTCACAAAGGCACATTCTCTGGCATCGTAGTCTGCCGAGTCCACTTTTCAGAATGGTCAAGTCCAAGGCCCCGCTGATGTGCTTGCTGCCTGCTCACAGGGCAATATATCTTCAGACCTCTTGAAGAAATCAACGGTGATGAAGGATTCCGCATCTTCCCCCCAAACGGCCGCGTTACATGGCTCAGTTAAGGCCTCTGGCTCCAATCGAACACTCAAGTTCTTCCATTATATCTTCTCTCACTACTTCTGATGACGAAGATGGGGAAAGAAACACGAATGATACAACCAACCTGATTGTTCATGTCGGGTCTGCAACACCACGAAATATGACCGAATATCCTTCGCATATGTCTCTTTCCCCTCTTACGCCTCTGCCGCCCACTTACGACAAGGGCAAGAGAAGGGCTTCGATTGAATCTGTTCCCAGTTGCGAAGAGGACATCTCAATGGAGAACTTCCGGCCTACAAAGCGTTCAAAGTTGGAACTAGCTGCACCTGTATCCCATAAAAACGAACAATTCTGGATCCTTGACGGGAATACGGTCCTTGAGGTTGGAGGCGTGCTCTTCAAACTCCACCGTTCTAGGCTTGTTGATCAGTCAATCTTTTTTTCTCACCTCTTGGACGAGCGCAATGTGCAGATGGACGGTGTCGTAGTAAAAAGTGATGAAAACGGGATAGTGTACCACCTGTCGAATACTACGCCGAAAGACTTAGAGGCACTGCTACAGCTCGATAAAAACCCAATGTAGGGATTTATTTTTTCTCATTTTGATATAATATTGATTACCCACAGGGCATATTATCTCGTCCCCCCTCCGTTCCCGGTCTTGGCTGCTATCATTCGTGCAGCAACTGCATTACGTTTCGATACGTATCGAGCTTTCGCCGTGAAACATTTAGAGAATGCATGGTCTTCTTCTGTCACAGATCTGACCACAGAAAGAAAATCTAATGCAGTGGAAGTTGTAGTTCTCGCGCGGACCTGTGGCATCAATAGCGTGTTGAAGAGAGCCTTCTATGAAATGGTTCGGGTGGCGGGTTATGGTCTTGGTGACGGTGAATTTGATGCAGACAATGGAGAACGGCCCCAGGAAATCAGCCGCGCAGATGAAAGGCGTCTGGAACGCATGAGGGAGCATCTTATCTCGGCCTGGTTGCAGGTTGCGGTGCGCGTGGACCGCACTTTCATATGCCCGAACCAACCAAAGGAGCCTACTGCGGGTACTGAATCGAGGTCATCGACTTTACCCAAATGCCCGTCTCTGTATTCGAAGCGAGATGCTTGGGAGAGGCGTGTTCACGATTCTGGGCTCTATGCCGAGTACAAGTTTGACCCTTTCTGTGGACTTCAAGCCCTGATCGATATCAAATGGGACGAGGACGAGGGCTGGTGCTCAGACTGTGTGCACGCAAAACGAGAAGTTTGGAGAACAATGCGTCAGAGAACTTGGGAGCGTATCGAAGTATGGATGGGTCTTGACAAATAACCGACGTCTGACATTCGGGCCCGATAGTGCTTAACTAGCATGTATTTGTATGGTGACACATCTTGAGCATTAATGTCATTCTTGTGGGACGCGTGAAATTGTATGAACCAAGTTTCTGGCCATATCAACCACCTTTTCGTGCCTCATTCATCTGCGTTAGCCTTCCTGAACCCCTTCTCCGCGGACTCATATCTGCATACAGATCAATCGTCATTAGCTCGATTTCCCATCCTGGCGATAGCTCACAGGACAATATTAATACTGCTCTGGCCACGCTGGGGAGCAGTTTTTTTGTCGTATCTCCTATTCTCGCTGCACTTGACTTCGTTTTGTGCAGGGACCGTTACTTGTCTTTATGGCGTTGGCAGATCGATCCTTAGTACCTGCAGTTCAGTCACGACGGTTGGTCTTCTGGGTTCATTCCAACAATCAGCCTTGAGTTCAAAGGTCGACACATGGACGCCGAAGCGCAATACATTCGCATTGAAATAGTGAGTAAGATTCGACTTCGAGAACGGAAGGCTCAAGGAGTACGAGATAGGAGAAGAACGTTTTCGAGCAGTCGCAAAGACATCTTACCGCGGGATCGGCGGCAATGTGATGGTATATGATGTGACGAATCAGACAACCTTTGATAGTGAGATCATCGTCGGGCATTTGGACCGTTCACCTTACTCAGACAGATATCCGTGCGTGGTATAATTATGTCAGTATGAAGTTCCTTGGGAACAAAGCAGACGGATCGGACTCACGAATTGTTGTGGAGGAGCAAGGAGAAGCGTTAGCAGATCAATTGGGTATCAAATTATGGAGACTCATCAGGACGAGGGCGTAGACTAGACCCTGGTCATGATAAAGTTAGTGGCCCTTCAAGGGTATTTGCTGAAAAACTTAAGTTCAAGTTCGAAGCAAAGCGTTCTGAGTCCGACGTTTTGAGTTGAGAATGCGAAAAGGTCAGACGCAGGCCGCTGGAGCGTACTGAGGCCAGATCTCGGGTTGGGGGGATGAAGGGGACCACGGAGGAACGAGACCAAACCAAAACACGCTGGCAAGATTATAAAGGGGGGTGGGTGGGTGACTAAAACTTTGGCTGAGAGAGCGGAAGGTGGGGAAGGAGGCAAAGAAGGAAATCTAAAGGATCTTTGCAGGGCCGTGCATATATCTATGAAAACGTGAAGATCTGTGCAAGTGTGAGATATATCAAAGCCGCATAGGCTTACAAAGCCCCACCTGATCTACGCTATCAACTCGCAAGCTTCATTCAAGTTGATCGCATAGATCGAGCAGCTCGTACAGAAATATAGAAGGTGGAAGAGCTGTGGGATATGGCCGAGTCTTGCTCGGTCGGAGGCTGGCTCGACACTATTAATTTCTGGATCCCTCCTACCTAGGGATCTTTGACCAAGCACATGCCAAGACTGAGAATGAGTATTGGCAATTTTCGAAAGATACCTCATTATTTCTGCGCAGGGTCGGCCTACTAAGGGAGCAACGAGTAAGTGAGAGAAAAATGACGAGGAGTACGAGCATTGATGAGATGCACGGGAATGAGCGTCAACTTCTCATCCTCGTCGCTGCGCAGGGTCACTGCAGGTTCAAATGATGAAGCGATGAGTGAGAGATTGGGTAATGATTGCCGGCAGGTTAGGATACAATGGTCGTAATCGATTGAACACGCTCCTGCAAATTCTGCCGAAATTTCTGCCATCTGACAGCAATAACAATTCTGCCAAATCGATCAGAATCGTGCTCATAAATATATGCAGAATATAAAAGTGTTTCCCCATCCTCAGAGATATCATTTGAGATCCCCTTCATTTAGCTGCATGCGAGATTAAAAACTCTCAGATGAGCTACAGGCTTACAATCAGTCACTGCTAGCTCCATTGGCTAGCGGCCAAGCAGACGGCCTTTCTTGGTGGAAAAACGTTCCAATCAATTCCGATCGCCCGTTCAAGGCCTTTGCTCCTAGAGCATTAACGAAGTTGAAGTGCTCGAGGGAAATGCTTTTGGTTATGACGAGTTGGGTCGGATCGATAAAGGAATAATACCACTGGCTATTCTAGATGAGGTTGAGGTGGTTAAATACAATGGCGAGGATGACGAGGCAACAAATATTGATGAGTCATCGTTAGGGATGCCGTAACCGTAATATAAGCTGTGGGCCTGCCTGGGCGCCTATATTAGTTTTGCCGGTTATAACCGGCATCTAAGTAGTTCTGCACTACCATCCGGGCTGAACGCGACACACAAAAATGGCCACAGGTAAATCGCCGTCGGCGTCTGGTCTCGTTGGCCATTCTTCGTCAGTACAAGATCATGTGCAGTCGTCATCCTATCAAAGCAGAAAATATGCAGATGTTCACAACAACGCGAAATATCGAGAACCACAGACATCCGACCTTTTAATGGGACCTGATGACGATAGCGATGATGATGAAGATGATGAGGACGATGAAGATTATATACCTGAAGATGACAAGACTTACACTGCCAGTGAAACAGGCTACTCCGTACGCGAAGGCGACTTGGACCTAGGTGGAGACGAAGAAAGTGAAGGCCGAGGTGAAGTGGAAGGGGAAGGCGATGAAGGCGAAGAAGACGACGAAGACGAAGACGAAGAAGGTGAAAGTGAAGATGAAGATGAGGCTGAAAACAAACGTGTCGAACTTGAAGGCAGCGACGAAAAGGTTGAAAACAACCATGGAGACAACGCTTCAGCTCATGCTTCTCTGAAAAACGACATCGAAGCAGCAAACACTAATTCTGCAAGGTCGTTACCAGTGTTTCCTAGGCCTGGCTACAGCAACGAGCCTAGAGCTAAATCAAAAGGGAGTTCACCATGTAGCCTCAAGAGTACTCTATCTCCCTCACCACCTCCCTGCGCGCCTTCTCAATCTCAACCTTTCCCCCTACCATCGTATGACCCTATGACTCCCTTGGACCCGAGTATTGATCTTTCCTTGAAGGGCGATTTGCCGCTAAAGGCAGAGCTGGAATCCTCTCCCGAGCCCGACTTTCCTTCCGTGTCTCAGATGCTCGCAAAGACGCGTCCTTCGGCATCGCAGCCTGCGAAATCTACCTTTGAGAAAGGTCGGGCGCAAGGCTCTGCTCATGTTTCTGCTATCCGTTCACAGGACATTGTCTCTTTGAATGTCTCGAAGTCGCCGATGGCGATTCATAATGTCGCATCTTCCCCCTCACTGTCGCAGCCCAAACGTCCACGTCCTGTGGCTTGCAAGGCGAAGCCACGGGCTCTGCCGATTGAGCCTCGTAGCTCTTCGACTCTATCCCATTCCGCTACTCCTGGCGATGAAGATGGGGACAGGAACAAGAATAACGGCAAGGGAAAGAGAAGGGCTTCGATCGAATCATCTCACAGTGGTAAAGAGGATATCCCAAGGGAGAACCTCCGCCCCACAAAGCGTTCAAAGTTGGAACTAGCTGCACCTGTGCCGCACAAACACGAACAATTCTGGATCCTTGATGGCAACACCGTCCTCGAGGTTGGAGGCGTGCTCTTCAAACTCCACCGTTCTAGGCTCGTTGATCAGTCAACTTTTTTTGCTAACCTCTTGGATGAGCAAGATGTGCTTATGGACGACAGTGTCGTAGTCGAAAGGGATGAACATGGCATAGTATACCACCTGTCGAACACCACGCCGACAGACCTCGAGGCATTACTACAGCTCGATAAGAACCCGATGTAAGGATTTCATCTTTCCATCTTTGTTTGATATTTACTACAACTTACAGGGATTATTATTTCGTCCCCCCTGCATTCCAAGTCTTGGCTGCTATCCTTCGCGCAGCAACCAGGTTAGGTTTCGACACGTATCGTGCGTTCGCCTTGAAACTCTTAGAAAATGCTTGGTCCTCTTCTCTCGCGGATCTCACCACGGAAAGTAAATCCAATGCAGCGGAAGTCGTGGTTCTCGCGCGGACCTGTGGCGTCGAAAGCGTCTTGAAGAGGGCTTTCTATGAAATGGTTCGGGTAACAGGCTACGGTCTCGGCGACGGCGAGTTGGACGGCGACGATGGAAAAGAATCCCAGGAAATCAGTCGCGCAGACGAAAGACGTTTGGAACGCATGAGAGAGCATCTTATCTCGGCCTGGTCACAGGTTGCGGTGCGCGTGGATCGTTCCTTCAAATGCCCCAACCGAACAAAGGGGACTTCTGGGACACCTGGGAGGGCTTATATCCTTGGATCGTCCTCTACTTCATCGCGTCTCCCTGGATGTCCTTCTTTGTCTTCGAAGAAAGACGCTTGGGAGAGACGCGTGCACGACTCTGGGCTCTACGAGGAGTATCAGTTTGACCCTTTGTGCGGACTTCAAGCCCTGATCGACATCAAATGGGACGAGGAAGAAGGCTGGTGCTCAGACTGTGTGCAGGCAAGACGAGAAGCTTGGACAAGAATGCGTCAGAAAACTTGGGGGCGCGTTGGAGTGTGGATGGGTCTTGACAACTGATCGAAGTCTGGCATTCAGACCTGAGGGTAACTATCATGTATTTTGTACAACGATACCTTGTTCGCACGTTGGTAATGTCCTGTATCGATTTGCCCGACGCACTCTGCCACCCACACCAAAAAAACGGATATAACAATATGGGATAAACTTTACTGCAACACTACATAGCTACGTCCACTAGAGTAGCATTGCCGCGACTGCAGCAACAGCGACTGCAGCAATCATGCTGCCTGCATTGCTCGTCAAACCAGCAGCAGAGCTAGTGGTTGTAGCTGCAGATATATTGACTGGTGCGGGAGCATCGGCCGAGTTCAGCGACATGTTGACGTTAGGAGCAACAAAGGTCGGTCCACTACCACCGCCAGTACCGTTCGTGTTGGGTGCTAAATAGGGGACGTAGTAGTCAACGTTCAACGGTCCTGGGATGGTCCCAGTGATGTTGAGCTGGGGAAGGTCGGTAGAGGAACCTGTGAGGTTGTTGTTCTGATATGAGGTGGACGCAGCAACGAAGTTGAAAACATCTGGATAATACAATCAGAATACAGTACAAAAAGGTGCAAAGGGTACGCACTGGCCAACGTCTTGTTGGTGTCCCCACGACCGAGGTTACCGAGGTCCCAGTTGTTCTCGACAGTTGAAAGTCTGTTCGTGGATTAGTTAGTCCAACACCTACGTTAAGTTTCAATACTTACGTCGAGTAATGTGTATAGAACGTTGGATCGGTGGTATTCTTCATGGCCTCGGGGATGACTCCACCCAGGAGGAGGCTGTATACGTTGTTATCAATCGTATAGGTCTCGTTTCTTTGCAAACAAGGACTTTAAGATCAACAAGCATGGTACAATGGGAAGAAACGCACTCGTCGAAGGTGAGCAAGATGAGCGTTGAATTGGTGTTGAAGTTCGTGTCGTTGAGCAAGGGTAAGAGCCAATAGTTGAGCCAGGCAGCAGCATATGCAACACTAGTATCGTGAGCGTCACTGCATGACCTTGTAAGATATTACATAAGGCAATGATTGGAAAATGGGCATACTCGCGGAGGTTCGGGGTGATGAAAATCCACTGAGAAAGCGAATTGTTACCAACCTGTTCCAGGGTGAATACATCAAGTTTGAGATCACAAGTTAAATGAACGCGTACATCGACAGCAAAGTCGTTGAAGTTCCTAATACGCGCCGATCTGGTACTGATGTTCGCTACGGATTCGTAGATGACCAATGGGTTGTGCTTGCGCACGTAGTAGGTGTAACCGTCAGAATTGGTAAAGTTGTATGGTTCATAGCCATCCGTGGGCATATTTTCCTGATAAGTAGCCCAGCTAATGTTCTTCTGATCGAGCAAGTCCACAACAGTGGATATGTTGGTGGGAATGTACTCCAAGAGGTCACCTGGCAGACCGAAGAAGTCGCCACCAACGGCGGCGAGGTAGTTTGGTTCACTTGGATGGGTTACGCCGTAGTACCCGGTCAAGGTGATGCCCTGCGCAGCGAGGGTCTGGAAGACTGGCTGAGAGGCTGCCGAAGCAAAGTCCGTATTCTCCAACCAGATCTGAATGAAGCGGTCAAACACCTTTCCGGAAACGACGGGCGTGTTGGTAATGGTGTTGTTTGCAGGACCGACATAGAAGGATGATTCAGAAGTTGGTCTACATGACTGAAATCAGAGGTGTCTCATAAACAAGGGTTAGAACTCTTACGCAGGAGCTGGGGTAGTGAAAGCTGTCGATGTGACTGCTGCTGATGCAGTCCTGGCAAGGGCAGCAAGGGCGAAGATTGATGGCACAATCATGCTTGGAACTTGTCACGTCAAGATGGAGGCACGGGAGGGCAAGTTCAACATTTCATCCGCACCAGGATACTTATAGGCTCTCAAAATTCATGAAGTGGTGGTGATGCGCCTTGTGAACATTTTGATGTTTGTTGTGTGGGAGCCCGGCTTGACCGGTCCTCGGGATCTGACTCTGAGTGAAAACTAGCTAAAGAACGTTCGAGGCTGCAGATCCCAATTTATCAATGATTCACTCTTTCCACGATTGTGACCGTACCTATGACATTTCGATTCGTTGAATGTTGTCGTCGTTCAGAACAGAGTCTCGTCGGGCTATGGCCGAATTACGAACCAAGGTGATGAAAGGTCATTACATACCGGCACCAATAATTTAAACGCTCACGGCATTGCATCATGTGGTCTCCTTGCACGTTCCTCCTTCATCTCTTACGGTCTTGACATGAATCTCAGGCTCATTGGTTTGACTTCATGTTAGCACCTAATTTCGAATTTTACACTCACGTGGAAGAGACAACGATAGTGCAACAAAGCAGTGCAATCGGAAGACCGCCTCGAACGTGCGTCCTAGTTCTATCACTGTATTCTTGTCCTCACCGACGACGGAGGCGTGCACTGTGGGTAATAGTATATCAAATAGGCGTTTATTTCCCTCACTGGTTACAATTAGATCACAATTTGGGTCACAATGTCGCGCTGAATTTTGATTGATCTTTTACGCGGGGATGCGCCATATGCTTCACGGAATCGTGGATGCCTTATCTTGCACCTGACTTTCCCCCTTAATAGTCACGGGTCCCTTATGCTGAAGATGGTATGTTATTGTGTTTTGTGAGCGTCTATCTCATTACAAATTTTAAATGAAGCATCCATGTCCCTAATCTTGTGTTGACATTTGGGTCTTCGAAACCCGTAACTTGGAAATGCTGTCAAAGAAGTGGCTTCAGCTAGCTCCGACTTTTGTACGCCTCCACGTGGGGTAACTTGTTCCATGCACTTCTATGTCCAACCTCTGACAGGCTTCTAGCTATCACGGACGTTTGGGCCCTTTTAACTGCGACGCACTGCATCCGAAGCTGTCTTGGAAATCAATATCGCGGAGTGCTCATGATACATTGTATAGTCACCGGCCGTATAACTCCACAATCTGGGGTAAAAAATAACACGCACTTTGCAACCGAAGGCTCTCTCACAATCGGAATTCACGAGGGCTGGCTGTACTTATACGACCATTCATTCAGCCCCTCTGCATCGAACACAAAGATCTGAAATGGAAGAGTACCGAATTGGCGCCAGAATTCCTTGCGATGCTCCAGGTGCTGTGTTTACAATCATTCGTTCAACCCCAGTCTGAGCCGAGCGCAAAGAATGGAACGGTACACTGGACTTGCATCCTCTAGGAGAGTTCCTCACGGTTGTTGTTTCGTCATCAAGAATGTATAAAAGGTATAAATCGAAGGTCTCGTCGTCCACTGCTCCCCTAACGTCATTATAAACAATTTATTTGCTCTAAGTATTTAGCCATGTCTAATTATCTCCTCTAGATGTTCCACTGACAATACACGATTGAGAGCGTGTTAAGCTCGAAGATTTCCATGGCATCGTGGGAATCCAAAACGCAACTCCATACTCACTTGACAAGAAACGTTTTTTTTTTGGAAAATGGACGGATTTGTGCTACAGAGACAGAGGAGAGTAGCAGTGATCTTCCTGCCTCTATTTTCACATTCGGTGGTAGAACAGCGCCGCCCGACGACAGCATTTATTTCATCAATGCTCGCCTAATTACTACGGCTGCAGGTGACCAGACTACTTACACTCGAGCTGTACTGTTTGTTGTCTTTTCTTTCTCTGACCGATGCCAAGTGACTGATTCAATTTCAAAAGGAAATCCAGTCGTTGGATAGTGGCCCATACCCAAATACACGTCCACATCGCCTGGACCTCAAAGTGAACGCAATGTGCGCAGCGCAGTGCAACGAAATATGTCGGTGGGGAAGGGATTAGTACGAAATGCACGCCGGGTGCGAAAATTACATTCTGCAAGCATAGTACAATGAGACGAAAACCAATGCGTCGTAAGTACTTCAGTCATATCTTATGCAGTCACCCAGGTGTTCGAGATGTTCCTCTAATTTAAGGTATTCTTGAACGGTGAAGTTATTCATCGTGACAAACGAGCGTTCAGCAACGGACTAATCACGTGTCACGGTCATGGCGTCAACCACACTGCACCAATGCGAAAGCAGAAACACGACTCACTGTCACAGTAGATTCAGTGGCTGACACTCCCACAATTCGTCACCCTACCAGGCCGGTGAGTCACGGAGTTAGACGAAAACTACTCATAGCTCACTTCGCTGTCTATTACTACTGGCGCGCATACATTCTCATCGCAGCAATCATCATCGTGGTTGCAGAGGACGGCACATTCACTGTCAGCGCTGACAGGAGACACTAGTCAACTTAAAAGCAGCAATAACGGCGAGGACGAAGGAGAGACGCATTATTTGTGAGACGTGATATGGGATCCCAAAAATAAATCTGAAGGGGAGTAGGAAGATAGCTTGCTTTTATGCCCTGAATAATGTCCCGCACAGAAACTCAGCGTCCACCTGAAATACTCTTTCAAACAGATGACATTCAAGTTTGCATTGCCAGCACTTTGCCAGCAGACCTCAGATTTGGATTGCGCTGTCTCTGACAAAGTTCTCTTGACGTGACAACTCACTCGGATGAAGAACTGGTGATGTGTAATTTCAACTCGTTGTTGTATCCGGTCTACGATAGGTGACGCGACGATCCCTGAAATGTTCCTAGCGACTCAGGGGTCCCATGGATACAAAGAGAAATACCATGCATGGGGAACGCAAAATCAGATACCAGGAGATCTAAATTCCAAGGGAAAGTCCCCAGGTATACTGTTATTTTTTAGACGTACATAGCTACCATATGCAGTACCATATGATTGTTGAGAATCTCAATTGGTTCTCATATTCTACTGCGATAGATTTAAATTTTACTCTAGTCTGAGGCGCCGTCATATATTTCGGTAAGTTCCGCTCATGCTACTGTCGGAAATTCCTAATTTTGGTTGGCATATCTTAAAATAGCGTGCAAGGTCCCAATTTGTCAGTGGCATTGCGGTCCGGTTGCAAGGGATCCCGAAAATTATGGAAGCTGCTTGCAAGCGATACAGACATTCTTCCAAGACGGTCCCAAGACCATTCCAACGCAAGGTCACGATTTTGAAAACAACTGAAAACACCCCTCATTGGAAGGTCATTGCAAGTCACATGATATCATTCCAAGCATTTCGAGGACTTGTAAGGACGGTCTGATTCTTTTAAGGTAGCGATTTGAATTACAAGTTGTACAAATTACTAAATACCGATTTCTGATGTTTTGTACCTTCTACTGGGGCATTGCACCAGGTCAAAACCTTCAAAAGCGGCTCTAAATCCTGCAGAAGAAATCACGTCAAGTACAATAAATGTGAATAGATAGACAAGCTCACCTCTAATAGACCGACATGAGACACGGGGCATTCACGGCGAGAATGATATGCACCGTTTCAGCATCAAGTACATAAACGGAATCGGTACCGGCTATTGATAGGACTCCCCAGTCATCCTGGTGCCGTTTGTTCGAGGAAATGGGAGTGGCAGTGGCGGAGGATGTAGATGAGAGACATCTGATGGTGAATAGTGATTCATTGCTTTGTCGATGGGCCAATGAGGCAAGCTATCAATATGCATAATGTCAGTACTAAGCTTGGCTGAAGAGTTCAACAATTCAAATGCACCTCAATGTCAGGTTCAGATGTCATGCTGATTGTTGGGTGGCTAGGGGTGTCGCTACCACTGAGGAGTTTTATTAAATTGGAGAGAAGCTAGAGAGATTCTGGAGATGGAATTCTAAGACAAACGAGAGATGATTGTGGTTGAAGCAAAGTGTTGCAAGCCTAAGTGAAGACAAACTTCAACATTTGTTTGGCCTTGTATTAATATATCCATTAATGGAAGTTCCTTCTGTCATCAGACACGTCGTTGAAATCACATTTGAAGTCCATACACAGTCGACAAAAGCATGTAGTTTGATAGAAAGTCTGTACTAATGTAAGCTAATTTTGGTGATAGAGCGGTGAGGATGCTTCATTTGCCCTTCCGGCCTGACCGCCTTACAACAACAGCTTCATCTTCACCCTCCGCAGTTGTCTTGCCTTTGCGCCGTGCCTTTGGTTTTGCGCGTGCTTTAGTTGGAGCAGGAAGGTCAGATTCAGCAAGATCCTGATGCCTAAGATTGAGTTCATCCATTGCAGTAGTGATAGATTCTGAACTTCGAGCCATATTGATGACAGGAGGAGCTGTTACTACAGGGGGAGCTGCAATAGGGGGAGCTGCAACAGCTTGAGGGGGGAGCCAAAATTGAGGGAGCTGGAATTGAGGGAGCTGAAGTATGGTGAGACACAGGTAGTAGCTCATTGACTTGGACATTACCGCTATTAGTATTGTCATTAGCATGTCGTGACGGGATTGGTGGTGTGCCGTCATCAACAACCGGTTCTTCTAGTTCATCTTCTATTGCGCGATTGAAGTCTTCTTCCCATGTGTGACCCAGTCCGTCATCATTGAGAGCAGTAGAAGGGGGAACATAAGACGAAGTTCCTGAGAAAAGGGCATCATTGAAGAATGTGATGACCTGGTGCGCCCAGGCACCTCCAGTCAGTAAACGCTGACGGTAGAAGTTGTGGTATTCGCGGTATGGAATCTTTGTAGTGTCACCAATTTCAGTGAGTTCTGCATCACCAGAGAGTAGGAAGATTGCCTTGTATGAGAATAAGTCACGACTCTAACAACCACACAAAACTGATTTGGACTCACCACGACAGCAGCAGCAGCAATCATACCTGGCGTTATAGCTCGCAATTTCCAGATCTTGGCTTTTGTCCTAGAAGATGCAGCGCCTGTAGGTGCCAATGACGACTTGTCGAAGAGCGATACTTTCAAGACCTATAATCATATATGAGTGTGTTAGCCCATATTGAAGTATCGAGCAAAAAGAGATGTACCTGCACGAGCTTTGCAGTTTTCAACAACTGATGCGGTACTGGATTATCAGGTCTAGGAAAAAGCACAGGTGCGAACTTTGTGTACTCTCCATGGGGACTCAGTAGAAGAGGGCGACAGTTAGGGTCTTCATTTCGTTTGTAGCCTCGTATGAAGATGCTTGCGTTGAGACCAAAGATTGCACTTGCGCATGATTTGACGTCAGATGCCATTTCAGAACGAGCGTTGCTGACACCCCTACCAAACTATTACATTGATTGTCATTAAATGATTGGAATGTAAGAATGGATAGGCATACCTGAGATCCGAAGTTTTGATAGCTCATCAATTCACGTTCTTCTTCAGGAATGAACTTGAAGAGCTCGGCCCTCACACCATCCTCCATCAAGACTCCTGTAAGCCAACGCTCCTTGCTATTGAGGTCGATGTCTGGACAGGTGCGAGCTGACAGCGGGAAAAGTTCAATGTTGATCCAAAGGCAGTGGGTTATCGAGTATTTCCTCCCAAGAGCTCGTATGGTGTCTTCCTTGGCCGCCATCGCAAGATCATTCGAAGTAAGGTTACGACGCTTGCGGCCTTTAGGTACTGCAGCCTCAAGGAGTGCATTCTTCTTTATAGCCTCACGGCATTTACCATGCAAGTCGAGCAATAGTCTCTGCGAGATCTCGAGGGCCTAGTAGTAATAATCTGTGGTAAGAAATGTGAACTTTCTAGCAATACAATGACTTACCTTGCGCAGCTCTTGAGATGTCGCATCTGGAGGTGCAGGAGCAAGCGCAGCGCAGACCTGGATGAGCTCTGCGTCCGAGTCGTCTGAATCAGAATCCGACGAGAACTCTGGATCAGTGCCCGAGCTCGACTCTATAGTTGCTGCGCAACGGTGTGCTGATGGCATGATGGCAGACGACTTCGAGTTGAACTCAGGATAGAGCTGGGGAGACTAGGATTATTAGTGTCAGTGATACATCGTGATTATATCAGTCAAAATTCGCTTACCGCTGATACAGACATTTAGGCCTTGAGGGTACCACATGTTGCAACACATACAAAACCTGAACATGAGTGATATTAGCTGTGGCATTAGAATGGACCTACTACTTAATGGGGACACACCATGTAATACGAAGCATGCGACGTCGACAGGGCATCCTTATTACGTTGAAGATGGTAATACAATTGGAGTTTGGTCAGTACATATATGAGTTGCGGAGGCGAACAAAAAACAGAATCCAAGGCACAATAATAGAGTCCTAGGGTATAGTAAGATGAGAAAGCCGTTGGATAGAGGGTGAAGGTGAAATTGATGATACAGATGGGATGGGAGTCTCAGAGCGCCGTGTGATAGAGGTGAAGGTGAAATGGATGATATGGAGGAGATGGAGAGTCCAGTGACAAGATGAGCTATGTAGAGTGCTCTTGGTAGAAGTGAAGGTGAAATGGATGATACAGAGAAGATGGAGAGTCCAGTGATGAGACGAGCTATGTAGAGCGCTCTTGGTAGAGGTGAAGGTGAAATGGATGATACAGATGGGACAGGGGAGCGCTGTATGTTAGAGGTGAAGGTGAAATGGATGATGCAGATAGATGGGAGAGCACTGTGAGATAGAGGTGAAGGTGAAATGGATGATGCAGATGAGATGGGAAGTCCAGTAATGAGCTATGGAGAGCGGTCTTGGTAGATGTGAAGGTGAAATGGATGATGCGGATGGGATGGGAGAGTGCTGTGTGATAGAGGTGAAGGTGAAATGGGTGATACAGGTGAGATACAAAGGAGAGTGCTGCTCATATCCTGGCTTGTTATTGCAATAGTCATAAATGTAAATGTTGAACATACCATAATTAGAACATATATCTCTGCGAACGAAGGAACATGTCGGAGTCCACATAATCAACGAGAAAAAAGTCGCCCCTTGTACTAGCGAAGTCTGGAACAAGTAATGCACCACGAATAACCGAGTGAAGCGTAATAAACTCCGTCGAAGCGAGTGGTCGGGCACGAAGACGTCTCAGTCGCAAATCTTGATCTATAGCGTGTTGTGGGCCTGTTGGAGCATCCATAGGTTGAACTAGGGCGAGATCCAATGTTTGACTGCCAATTGATTGCTTGAACATGAATAAAATGCAAACAAAAATGTTCTTATTATTCCCATCTTTGTCCTGGGTGCGAACAAGGGCACAGTCACGTCGTTCACGGCCATGAAAGCTCGGGTTGCAGCGCAGGTGGTCGGTAGTAAGCTTCCAGTCCACAACAGACTCGTAATTGACTTTGAGATATTGGTGTTCTTGAACCTGGAGACATGTTTGTGAACAACGGCGACTCGTGGGAGTGAAATATGGAGTTACTGACCGTATCTTGTGCTGAAAGCGTCAGCCACGTTTTGCCATCAGGTAATGGTATATTGTATGCAGGTAGAGCGTGATTAAGGAAGGTCGAGAGCTTTTTGCGGAACTGCCCAAAGGCACGGTTGGACACATTGTCGTTTTCAAGCTGTGCAAAGGTTATTGCGGACTGAGGAGCGCCAAGGTGAATATGTCCGCCAAAAGACCGATCATTCAGGTCCTCTGTCTCAAGCTCTCTCTCCGAAAGTATGGCCTTGCGTCGTTCATCATCGAAATGATCGATGTGGTTGTGGAGGACTACAGAGACGAAGGTTGTGTGGTCAAGCCTGAGTATCTAGATAGCAGGGGTAGTCAACGAGTCAGTTAATGTGAAGTGTGATCAAACATACCTGGTTTGCGATATCTTTGCCATTTGTTTGCAGTTTATAGGCCCTCTTGATCGGCCCATGATGCTTCTCGTTTGGCCGCGTACTAAAGTTTCGCGCAGCTCCTTTTGCCCTAATGTCAGAAAATATGTGCCTCATTGAGTGCACCTTCGGAAAATTCCAGTTTTTTGTCGCTTCGTCACCAAGAACTTCGATATATTGCTGTTTGAAGTATTAGTGTCAAGTAGCGCATAAGTTGGTCTAGATACTAGGACTTACATCTAAGCACTTCTGGAAAACGAGAATCTCGGCCTCCCCAGCTGCAATAGTGCTTTCTGTGTGAACGTCAAATGTTATATACATGTAGGCATGGAGATAGCTGGCTATGCACCTTAGAAGTGCATAACCAGCTTCGTCATCTTTGCGTGTGAGCACGTTCTGTGTTGTATACAATATTTGCTATCAAAACCACAAGAAATATGTCAGTTATAGCTTCAATATGATATAGCACTCGAAAACGTACCTTAGATATATCCAGGAACTTGTTGCCATCGGAAAAACTGATGTTTGTAACGTGGTCGAAGTGGTTTAGGTTTTGCCATCGCAGAAACGCAGTGAACCTATAGAATGAACAAAATACAAGACGAGGATGAAATAAGGATGTAAAGAGACTCACTGGTCATCAGTCGTCTTCTCAGCAGTACGTCCCAGTGTTTTCAGGTGGGCCTTGACTTCCTCGAACATGTGATCGCCAAACAAACCACTGTCGTAAGTGTGCAAGGTATCTTGCGAGAGTGCGTCATGCGGGCTGGACCGTTCAACAATCCACAAAGAGTTCTGACGGTTATGAGACCATTTAGTTTTGAGAGCGAGAAAGTTGAATGAATCACTCACATCGACAGGCCTTAGACTCTGCTTTTTTAGTGCCTGCCCTCACCAGCGGTACGGTCCATGTTCCTCAATCGGACGCAAGCTTGTGCATCATCAATGACGCGGGTAGGGTATATTGTAGAATGGTCGGTGAGCTTGTCCTTCGGGACAAGGCAAATAGGGCAAGGACATGCAGAGTTGAACCCTCGTATCAGGGCCATCACACACCTGATAACGTAGTGAGTAACAGAAACAATGTGAAACTACTAATCACGTACTGCTCTTCGTAATCAGCAGATAAAATCAGTATTAGTGGAAATAACCAGCGTAGAATTCCATCATAGCATTGGTGCGCGAAGCCAGTTTTGGAGATGAGACTGAGGGTTTCAAGGAGAATCGTGAATGATTTGTGCCATACGACCTTCTTTAAATTCGTATAGGACAGCTTGCCATCCTCGTCTGAGTCTGCAGGAACCTGCCACAAGGGCAAAATGATTAAGTGTGAATTGATGTCTTCAAGTATCGCAAAGACTTACTATTGGCAACCAACCCACTAAGCGTCCTCCTCCAGGACCATCAACATTCCTGATTTCAACAGGCAGATTCCCGCAGCGTGCGATTACTGGGTATGCCTTGACAGCACCGGCCGACGAAAGGTGCGTTTTGTCAGCATACAGTATAAATGCGAATGGCGCACCATTATGGGGCAAAGATGTCTTGATTGTACACTTTAATTAGTCACAACGTCATAAGAAAAATGAAAAGCTCACTTGTAAGTCCCACCAGCGGTCTCCTGTCCATGGCTCATGGAAGAAGCGTTCAAAATCAGTTCCGTCATGTTTGTACAGTCGCTGGGCATCCCAAACGAACTGCGGGTGCTAGCAAGGGGTTATCCAAGAGGTCCAATGCCCAGTCCCATAGTGGTCGTGAATATACTTCATACTCGATGTTTTCCTTCTTATACTCAACAGGTACAACATGTCTTTCAAACTGTTACAATATGGTCATATATATATGCAAATGTGACATTATGCTATCGCTCTTACAGGAGTCAGTTGGCTGGATGCCCTCGTCCATGCAGCTGACACGTCATTGTGAGTTTTGAAAGTAAAGTTCGTGCGACCATCCGCAACTCTCCAGATGAACTTGAGTAGTTCATTAGTTTGGTCTTTGCTCAAGGCAGCTCGGTGGGCGAGTTCAGCAAACTCGAAGTCTGCACGACAGCTGAAAGGCTGCCATGGCTCGTCATCGATGACAGGTGATTGTGTCGTCTCCGGCTTATTGGTCCCGTAAACAGAAAAGCTCTCGATGATTGGAGCGTGACCACTGTGAGGGTGATATTCGGTCTTGAATGTGTCGAGACGATCTGAGGTAGTTGCTGTGGCTACTGAAATTGGAGCAGGAATGTTATTACCCATGCTGATATCAGAATCAGAACCTGAATCATGTTGAGATAGAGTCAAAACAAAACAGAAAGAATATTACATACGTAGCCGTGTGTCTTTCCCGACACTTTGCACATCATCGAGGCCTTCAAAACCTGCGTCATCATAATGGTAATGTGAATCCGCTGCGGATGGAGAATCAGCTGCTGAACCAGCCTCTTGAATGACTAGTGTGGTATCTCGGGCAGCCTCATGAGTGCGCCCTTTATTGCTGCGATGTTCTGATGAATCAAAGTTGATGATTTTGAATATAATCAGTGATTGAAGGTAATTTAGACGACATTGAGACGTACTGTGTTTTCCTTCCTTCAAAATTGACCTGGCTGCGGCCCGTGAAAACTCTCTATCCTCTTTCTTCTTTTCCTTCCGTCGCAAGCAGCTTTGTTCGTGTGATTTGAGGCCTCGGGATGTGTACAGTTCATTACAATACTGACAAGCAACCTTGAGAGATGATACCGAAGAGCAGGTGTATTTGCGCCCTCCTGTGGATCTTTGGGGAGCCATTGATGGTAAATAGAAACAGTATAGACAGATGAAATAAGCAAAGGAATCGTTCAGGAAGAAATCATCGATGGATGGAAGATAGGTGGTATGAGATTGAAATCTGACCTTGATAGTGTAAGCCGCTTGCAAGACACAGTTGTTTCCCTGGCAAGTTACCAAAAGAAGGTCACTTTCCTTCCAATATGCTATGAATAGGTCACTTCGCTTTCAATACGCTTTCAATAGGTCACGCTTCCTTGGAAAAGTCTTCCATCACGGATGCAATGCAGTTAAATGACGTCTCAATTTAGAAGCCTTGCAAGGCACCTATGGGAATTTCCGACAACGTATATAACTCCGCTAGCCATATCCTCCACTAGTCACTGCACGGCCATGTCCATGCATCGAATTTCAACCCATATAGTGCCGGACTCCAACCACGCCAAAAACCTAATCTAACACTAAACCACTGCGGGCCATTATACGTATCTCTGTAGATTCGCAAAGGCCCTCCGAGTCCGGGCATCCCAGGACCTTCTTTTTTCTGTCTAAGCAATGCTCCATATTTCATTCAATCGCATTACAGGGGAGGAGCACAGTTGAGTTTACATTCTGACTTAATGTACTCTACTCAGGCTGCCACATCATTGATAGGGTATAGCACGGGTATGGGCCACACCGCGGGTGGTCCCGGTCAGGCGGGTACGGGTACGCACGTGTAGAGATGTGCCATGTACCCGTGATCGCATACATGTCAGTACGATGTACTCACGGGTATATAGCCGCACCATCTCCGAATCTTCTCCGCGGTGTTACATGTTGGACATAACAAAGATTCGCCGCTCACTACCTTGTTTTTCGGAGGTCGTTGACTGCAACAGTGACCCACTGCTTCGATCCTATTTCTCGCTGCTTCAATATTCCTACTAGTTCATATTCTTCCGTCTCGGAGACACATTACTATTGCTGATTACAACTTGGTGATTCAACAGTATAAAGTGAGGTATACAGACTCTGATTAACCATAATGATGGAATAAATCCATCATTATGGTTAATCAGTCTACTGCCAATGACACGGCCTCGCTCGCTGACACTCTTTTTCGCGCAACTCGGCCAGCGTCTATGCAGTCATGGACAAACTCGATAGCCACATGAACAATCGAGACGAAAGAGGAGTTCCGACCGTGATGAAACTTGCTCGTAAGAAAATGGATAGATACTGGAAAATGCCTGATGTCACTCAAACGCGTATCGCATTGCTACAGGTGAGCATAGTGACATCGATATCTGAGCGGGGTTCCTATCGTCACCGTTTTCCTCGCAGTCTTCTCCGAGACAGCACACTATCACGGCCATTTCGTCGCATATCACCGTGGTCTTTCCTACGGTCTTTACTGGGCTGAAATGCCAATGCAGTATCTCCTCGTCTATGTTGTTCCTGGTGGCGCCAGGACAATATGCGCTTCGGTGGCAGTCATGCATGCCCAATTGGAGCGGGTGTCGACGCCATGTACACGCTCCGCTGGAGCCCCTTTCATGCTCCATTTTGGCTCAGCATTTGTTTCTGAGATGATGGCGCGTATTCGTACTGTAACGTCTCGATTAACCTTCGCACAGATGGATTTGCCCGCTGTCAAGAGCCCGAGATCGACGCGATATTCGAACTTTGTGGTCACCCACGAATGAAGAAAGAGAGACGGCGAATATAGTTTACTCTTCATTACTGCTGTAAAGAGATGAGAGTCTGCAGGAGCAGCCTTGTCTACATACGTTAACATTAAGTTTGAGCACATCTGATTATGTAATGTTCCGTTAGTCCAATTATTGGGCGTTCAACATCCATGCCACCCAAAACGCCGGAAGACCCAGAACAAAACCCATATGAGCTGCTTGGGATCTTACAGGAGGCTACCGAAGCCGAAATTAGGACAGCCTATCGAACCCGCTCACTAAAAGTCCACCCAGACAGAGTACGTCTATTCATCCCAAGATCGACGAGAGTCCGAGACTAATTGAAATCGACACTGGTGTTGCAGAACAGAAATGACCCTAATGCAGGTGCGTACCTAGCTTCGTTAAAAATATAGCTAACACATGGATGTAGCTCAGAAATTTCATGCATTGACAACCGCCTCCACCCTCCTCCTCGATCCGCTCCGCCGTCTCGCGCTCGATGCACAACTCCGTTTGCAAGCTGCCAAGAAGCAGCGTTTCGCATCTTATGATAATAAGCGTAGGGCGATGGTCTCTGAGCTGGAGGAGCGGGAGCAAGAGTTCAAGAAGGCGCGAATGGCCAAGGAGAAGGAGAGGACTGCGAGGGAGAGCGAAAACTCGAGGATTCGCGAGGAGGGGCGACGAATGCGGGAGGAGAGGGAGAAGGAGCTCGAGCTGCAGGAATTGGAACGTCGATGTGCGAGGTCGAACGGAACTGTTGAAGAAGACTCCCTCGCTCCACCGCCTCCTGGCGATTTGGATACCACGATCCGTGTCAAATATGCTCTGTCATCACATCCTGCGCTTTCCACAGCATTTGCACTCGCTGCCCACCTTCGACGGTATGGTGAGATTGATGAAGGGATGGTGGTGATGTCGCAGAAAGCCAAGAAGTCGAAAAAGTCGAAGGGACTCGTGGACTGGCGAGATGATAGTGACCGCGCTGGTGCCTTTCAATCAGTTGGGTGCTGCATTTGCTGTGGTATCGAGCGCTGAATCGCTGAAAGATCGGGGCATGGAAGTGGCATGGGCAGGCGGATCTGAACCTCCGATACTGGGCTGGCTTCGCGAACGTGGAGAACTCGGAGGTTCCGCAGCCAAGCGGGTTGAATTGCTCCCAACAAAGACTGCTCCGGAGGGGACGACGTTCAATTCGTTTCCCTCGAGTTTTGTAGGTCTGGTTGACTCGGTCAATTTATTCAAATCACTAATTTTTCTGTTTGGTAAGCCTGCTTTTGATGATGTGGCACCACCGCCACCTCCTACTGTGAAGGCGGGGATGGACTACGAATCGTTGACGCTCCTCCGCATGCGTGAAGCTGAGCGTGCGCGCTTAGAGAAGGAGATATTGGAAGCAGAAGCTACTGAGGGCGGTTAGCCTTGCTTTGCGGCACCCGAAATGGACAGGAACTTGTATTAAGTATTTCTGAACTCCTTCGGGTTGGCAGTATAAGTCTGCTCATGAATCATGAGTTATTTCTTATAGCTGTTGACCTCCGTTGCCTTGGTACTCGAGCGGCTTGTGAGCAGTTAGGAATATCTTAAACCTCCATGGCGCCAAGATTTTCATGCATCGGACTCGCGACGTCATACACAAGAGGTCCTCACAACAGGATTAGGTAAGGCCAACCATGACCTACAATGGTCAATGAGACGTAATTGTAAGTGAGTAACTCACCTTGACAAGGATGACCTGTGCTCCAGAACCAGGGGACGAACGTACAAAATGAGCTCGCGTTCGACAGATATAGCTGCAACGTACATGGAATCGTGCAAGCGCCATACCCTGTATTTCAAGTTGAAACATGAAGCGCGTATACCTGTCCATCTGGCGCAATGATTCACGGTGACGAACCTTGTTATCACCACTCACAAGAGGTGCGTCCCATGGGTCGCCGATCCTGAGTTGGAAGAAAACAGAGTGATAGGCCTATGTAGTTTCATTTCTCGGGCGAATCTTGACCTCGTGCCCTGGATGTAGGAGTACTTAAAACTTACGGCGCGCAGCGCCAACACTTGGTGCAGCAAATTATCTACAAGCAGCCTTAAGCACGTCCTAAACTTCAGCAAGACTCCTAAACCTTGTCATTTCTAACCCTCAGCAGACTCAACTCTTATCTCAACCTCATTAAGTAGCAATGTATAATCAATTGATTCTATTTTTGAGTGAGAGATGATCAGATTATATTCACGCACATACTACATATGATATACTCTATGGAAAAGGTCAGGAAAAGGGTCAGGAATGCTGAGGGGTTAGGCCTGTCGAGGGTTAGGAAAGTGAATGACAAGGTTTAGTGAGGTTTGGGACGTACTTTAAGACTGCTTGTAGATAATTTGCTGCACCAAATGTTGGCACTGCGCGCCGTAAGGTTTAGGTACAAGTCCCGTTTAGGACAGGTATAGCGGCGTTCGGTTCCCTGGTGAACTCGAACTGTTAGAATCGAGCAGCCCTCTCTATATACGCCCATTGTGTTTTGGTGTCAAGACCTGCTAAGAAACATCGTCGTAAGTGATAGACCTTGTTGGATGAAAGCTGTGATGGAGCTGCGCCCAATAGATGATCATGTCTTCATCCATCATCGGAAGGCAGGAGACATCAACGATAAAGCACCGCCAGAAATTTGAAGGACACACCCAATCGGTCGAGCGCGCCATACATCTGCCAGACGGACAGCGGATGATGACTTGTTCATTGGACGGCTCGTTGCGAGTATGGAACTTAAAGAGCGGGAAACAGATAGGAGACGACTGGCGGGACGGTGATGGTGAATTGTGGACCATGGCGTTGTCTCCGGACGGGGAGAAAGCGGTTAGCGGCGGGAGTGTGGATGGCGCAGTAAAGTTGTGGGACATCAACACAGGCAAAGTTATCGCGAAATGGATGGGACACACAGGAACAGTGAGGTCTGTGTGCTGGAGTCGAGATGGTCAGCGAGTGGTGAGCGGGTCTCAGGATGGGACTGTAAGTGAGTGGAACGTGGAGAAGGGAGAGACTATCATCAGTCCAATGAAGACTGGGCACAATATGGTGTTCACAGTCATCTACTCGCCAGACATGACCATGTTTGCAACTGGTGGATTTGACGACACCCTAATTCCTGGATCGTACGAGTCTTTGATCAAAATCTGGGATGGGAAGACAGGCGAGCTTGCCGCCAGTCTCAAAGGACACACTGGCACAGTGTGGTGCCTGGCTTGGACCCCGGATGGAAAAACGCTTATCTCCGGGTCAACCGATGGATCGATTAGGACATGGAATACTTCAAACTGGAAGCAGATCGCACTGCTCCATGGGCACACCAGTGATGTCTGGGATATTGCAATATCTCCGAATGGCCGCATCCTCGCAAGCGCATCATTCAACACAGCGCAATTATGGAATCTCGACAACAGCCAGCTCATCAGTTCGCCCCTCAAACATGCAGTCTCAGTGAACAGCGTGTCGTTTTCGGCAGATGGAAAACTACTAGCCACTGGCTGCTATGACAAGAACGCGTATACATGGGATGTTTTTGCTATATCAAAAGAAGCTGGCCTTGACGACCTTCTTTTGGACAAGCCCAACAAGTCGCTACTCGCTGTATGTGACACTTTCATCAACAGTACTTCTCGCAGCTGATGCATTCTACATAGGCTGATGCTACACTGCGTCCTGTTTGTCAGCCAATCAAGGTCTCCCCTCAGATAACCCGTGGTTTTTTCGACGACACACCAAATCGTGCTCACGTACGTCGTTAATTATGTCTCCTCGACTACTGTTTTCATCACAATACTCTCAGTTGTCTGGCCCCCACTCTCTATCATCACCATTGCATAGAAGCACCCTTCGTAGCCGTTTTTTATCTTTATTCCGCCCCATACACCCCGATGCACATGATACGCCATCCCGACCTCGCCCTTTCCATCGGGTTCGAAATCGTCTCTTTGCCAGACCAAGCAACGCAGATATCGAGCTACACGAGCGTCCCTCAGCAGTTGACGTCCCGTATGCCAAGGGGAAACGTGTATGTCACTTATCCTTCTCGAATGTTCAATCCCTCCTGATATCATTTTCTCCTTCGAACTCTATCTCACATCACGTAGAGAAACGCTTCAGCAAGAGAGCGACGGAGGCCGCTCCTGAAGCCAATCCGGATAAACGCTACTGCAGGAAGCTCACGCCCTCCCAATAGCACCGTCCCTCAGCAATCCAACGGCACGGCTCAAGCCCAATCATCTTTGCAATCGCATGCTGCCGTCTCTACCGTATCTCCCGTCGTCGGTAATACAACTTCGAGTACTACTCCTCACGTAACGATAAAATACCCTGCACGTTGGACTCGCTTCTGGCTCTTCATCTGTTGTGCGTCTCCTGAGTATACCGATGGTCGTCCTTAATCTACCGGTCATTTACCACGATCTCTCCCGTCATTTAACATTCCGTGATACAGTTATCTCACCCCTCGAACACATACCTAACGTCGTTTATTGCATACTTCAAGTGCAGCTCAAGTGCAGCACGCACGTTTCGTTCTTACATATGGTAGATAGCTGTCCCTACATGAACAGCTTGTCCTTGTCTACTCTATAGGTAACAGATGGATGCATCTCGTGTTTGTAAAAATGTGAGACACTGCGTAGTCCCATGTGCATACTATCAAGTTGAGCTACATGTTAGTAATGATAACATCTCCGTTGAGTCACACAACGCCTCCAAACGCATGTCGTGATCCTGCAACGCCGCCTTTGAAGTCATCAACCTCAACAGTAGGCTTGTTAACATCGAGAGAACGGATGACGATGAGACGGAGATCGGATGGAACTGGGATAGGTATATGTTTTACAATGTATTGTTTAACGCTGATGACGATGTATTTCAGTTGCGCAGATAACGCAACGAGAGGTGACCGGTGACGACTCGGCCACTGTGCCTATTACAAGAATGAGTACATCGTTAGATTTTCCATCGACCGAGGACCCATCTTTGTTGTGATCCAACTAAAAGACCCACTTAATAAGCAGTTTCAGGGTATCGCATCCTGCAATTGAGGGTGTTGTCTCCAGGCATATGGACATCACCCCCCAGTGATCCGGACTGTTTAGAAGCTACGACGCCTTCTTGGGATAGACATCTCTTGACTACATTCGAAGTTGTTGCAATCCTCCACGAAGGCCATACCACCAGATTCGTGCATAGTGAATTTATGCCGATATTTACGAGAAAGATAGAACGCGTGGCTGGTTTCAGTCATTAGGAGTCCAGGGTGAGTTTTCGTCTACTGACAAACACGATAATGCATGTCTTACACCAGATGGGTATGAGCATCGGCGGGATGACGAGCACATTTGAGGAGCAGTTGAGTGGGGAGAGACAGTTTTACACTGTTGGTTCTATGTTAACGAAGATAGCGGAGTAAAGTTGGGTCAGGCAATTCACTTTCAGGCCTCATGAGGACAATGTTATAATCGCATGAATTCCGCCTCCCACAGTATGGTAAAGTAGATACCAACCAATAGTAGGGGTCGGTGCTGTGCAACGCTACAATGGATGACAGGTATACGAGTTCAAGTTGGTGTTGGCTGGGGTACCAACAAAAGAGGGGTGGAAAACATGGTGGTTAGTATCAGTGATTGTCAAAGTTCTGGATAGTTTCCCGTGTAGTGAGAGATACGGTGAAATGTACCCCTTGCGCACGAGATGTGTATCGAGTTGACTAGGTAGAGGCGGATGTATGATCTAGGGCGCAATTCAGTATATGATACATTGGCCAGGCAGTAAAACGGGGATCAAAATTGTGAATGATGGAATGCGACTCGTAGCCACAATTGAGGCTTGGGCGCTTCCGCTGCACAGCATATGCTATAAGCTGCGGAGTTGAACAGGAGGATGTCACATGTAAAACGTACCAGACTTCCAGTGCGCTCTTGACCTATACGCCCATTGTGTTTTGGTGTGAAGACGTCGAGACCTGCCAAGAATATCGTCGTAAGTGATGGACTTTGTTGGATGAAAGCTGTGATGGAGCTACGCCCAATAGATGACCATGTCTTCATCCATCGAAGGAAGGCAGGAGACATCAACGATAAAGCACCGCCAGAAATTTGAAGGACACACCGGTTTGGTCCAGCGCGCCATACATCTACCAGACGGACAGCGGATGATGACTTGTTCAAGAGACGGCTCGTTGCGAGTATGGAACTTGAAGAGCGGGAAACAGATAGGAGACGACTGGCGGGACGGAGATAGCGAATTGTTGACCATGGCGTTGTCTCCGGACGGGAAGAAAAGTGGTTAGCGGCGGGAGTGTGGACGGTGGAGTGAAGTTGTGGGACATCGACACAGGCAAAGTTATCGCGAAATGGATGGGACACAGAGAAATAGTGAGGTCTGTGTGCTGGAGTCGAGATGGTCAGCGAGTGGTGAGTGGGGTCTCAGGATAGAACTGTAAGTGAGTGGAACGTGGAGAAGGGAGAGAAAATCCTTGGTCCAATTGAAACTGGGCACGAATACATGACCACAGTCATCTACTCACCAGACATGACCATGTTTGCAACTGCTGGATTACAACACCCTAATTCCTGGATCATACGAGGATTCGATCAAAATCTGGGATGAGAAGACAGGCAAACTTGTCGCCACTCTCAAAGGACACACCAGCACAGTGTTGTGCCTGGCTTGGACCCCAGATGGAAAAACGCTTATCTCCGGGTCAAGCGATCGATCGATTAGGACATGGAATACAACAACGTGGAAGCAGATCGCTGTGCTCGATGGGCACACCAACCAAGTCTATGACATTGCAATATCTCCGAATGGCCGCATCCTCGCAAGCGCATCTTTGGACTACACTGCACGATTATGGAATCTTGACAACAACCAGTCCATCAGTTCACCCCTTCACCATACGTTTTCGTGGACTGCGTGTCCTTTTCGGCAGATGGAAAACTACTAGCCACTGGCTGCTATGACAAGAACGCGTATACATGGAATGTTTCTGCTATATTAAAAGAAGCTGGCCTTGACGACCTTCTTTTGGACAAGCCCGACAAGTCGCTACTCGCTGTACGTGACACTTTCATCAACAGTACTTCTCGCAGCTGATGCATTCTACATAGGCTGATGCTACACGGCGTCCTGTCCGTCAGCCAATCAAGATCTCCCCTCAGGTACCCCGTGGTTTTTTCGACGACACATCAAATCGTGCTCACGTACGTCGTTAATTATGTCTCATCCAATACTGTTTTCATCACAATACTCTTAGTTGTCTGGCCCCCACTCTCTATCATCACCATCGCATAGAAGCACTCTTCTTAGCCGTTTTTTATCTTATTCCGCCCCATACACCCCGATACACACGATACGCCATCCCGACCTCGCCCTTTCCATCGGGTTCGAAACCGTCTCTTTGCCAGACAAAGCGGCGCAGATATCGAGCTACACGAGCGTCCCTCAGCAGCAGTTGACGTCCCGTATGCCAAGGGGAAACGTGTATGTCACTTATCCTTCTCGAATGTTCAATCCCTCCTGATATCATTTTCTCCTTCGAACTCTATCTCACATCACGTAGAGAAACGCTTGTGCAAGAGAGCGACGGAGGCCGCTCCTGAAGGCAATCCGGATAAACGCTACTGCAGAAAGCTCACGCCCTCCCAATAGCACCGTCACGCAGCAATCCAGCGGCACGGCTCAAGCTCAATCATCTTCGCAATCGCATGCTGCCGTCTCTACTGTGCCTCCCGTCGTCAGTAATACAACTTCGAGCACTCCTCCTCACGTAACGATTAAATATCCTGCACGTTGGACTCGCTTCTGGCTCTTCATCTGTTGTGCGTCTCCTGAATATACCGACGGTCATCCTTGATCTACCAGTCATTTACGACGATCTCTCCCGTCGTTTAACATTCCATGATAGTTATCTCACCCCTCGAGCATATACCTAACGTCGTTTATTGCATACTTTGTGAAAATACCGGGCGCTAGCGCTCAGAAGAGCTCAAGTGCAGCACGCACGTTTCGTTCTTACATATGGTAGATAGTTGTCCCTACATGAACAGCCTGTCCATGTCTACTCTATAGGTAACAGATACATATATTTCGTGTTTGTAAAATGGAAGACACTGCAGAAGTCCCGCGTACACACCAACAAGTTGAGTTACATACTAGTAATGGCAACATCTCCGCCGAGTCACACAACGCCTCCAAACGCATGTCGTGATGAGCGTGGTGGACACAGATATCCTGCGCGAGAACAAGCTTAAGCAGGTGCGATCGTAGAAGATCCTGAAATTGTGTGTTTTTAGCGGTGATAGGTCACACGACGTTCGCCAGTGCTGGAAGTGGTGCGCTGCTCAAGAACGAGAGCCGTACTCCAGTTAGGGAGTAGGGGAAAATCATATGATTGTAGCGGGTTGTGCCATTCCCTGACTCCAAAACGAGGGAACGGAAAATAGCTGCGCGTCTAGTAGGAATCGAAGGACCCTCCAATAGCGTACAGGCTGGGGGTCAGTGCCCTCTTTCTCATACTTTAGGTGAAAGACGTTAAAATCATAACCTAAAGGAGTTTAGCAGAGATTAATCGTGAAAATCTGGTAGGTATGCTTGAGTACTTCTGATTCAGTACTTCTGAGAATACTCTTCAGGTTCCTCCGTGGGGGTCGTTTGAAGTTTGACCCACACACTGTAAGCAATGGTTTGTTTCAAGCCAGCAGATCAATATCCAATGGCTGCATGTATGGTTTCTTCGGTCAGTGAAGCTCAATCACATAGAAACGGCGGATTCCTGAGCTGCTGCCTGCAAGCAAACCCATCAACATCACGAAACAACCACCCTGATTTTTCGATCAGGAAACCATTTAACGATATCTGGACAAAATTGATTTGCGATAATCTATGCACGCACCATCATGACGGCCTCGAGTTCGAGAACATCATCCGTGCTAGCTTCCCGGGCATCCATACTTGCACAGATCCAAACGAACACCGTCAGAGATGACCTCGAGACTGCACTTCCGGTCTTTTCATCCGGCACATCATTTATGACGACCGAGGGCAACAAAAACCAATACCAAACGTTATATTTACTCTGAGAGAAGGCGCTATGGACAAAAGAACTCGAGGTTGCGTTGAAGGAGAATGTGGTTGTATTGGTGCATAGTGAAGGATGTGCCCAAGATCCTACCGGATGGCTGCGAAATCGGGAGATATTGGAGTGGATCCTGACGATATTTGGTGGTGAAGCAGGGCTTGTATTACAAGACTCTGGAAGATTTGCTGGAAGGGTGTACGAGTAGCGTTCGGAGAGTCGCGCAGTTGCGGAGGTCTGTCCATGGCTTAGTGTTTCTAGACGTTGTAAATTCTCCAGCTCACAAGTACATCGCACACGCTAAACACGTTTGCGGAAAGGAAATCCGTAAGGCCATGCGAGGACCAATCTAAGCGCGCATAAGTTGTACATGCATGTTAAAACTGCCAAACGCACGGTCTGAGGAGTACGATGCGAACGAAACTCGCGGAATGACTAGTGATGCCGTCGAACAACAAATTTATATTAATTCTTCAAAAAACCGGTTCGCCCACTGGACGTAGTCGCAGATCTGCTTGATGAGTCTGAAAGCCGCCTGGCTCACTAGCATATCTCACCAGCCTTGCGAAACTATTACTCAACGGCATGCATAGCTTTCTGCTGGTTGGTGCAGTCGCCTTGTCAACAATACGAAGTCGAATTGAGTCTATTGCCTCGCCAAGATAGCCTCAAGTGTGTTCAGGAGAAACATCAAACACGATGCGAATCCTCACCGGGGTAAATTGAGCAAATAACCCTTTTTATAGAAACCATGGTGTGACCGATAACGCAAAGGCCCGTGATTATCGCCCACTCGCATGAATGGTGCCCCTGGAGTGCTCGTGTCACGAGTGCCACAGTAAGCGCGCTCATGTCAAGTTTGGGAGAGTTCAGGCTAGCGGCTGGCCACGAAATCTTCAAAGGAAATCGAAGAGGGCCTCGACTTGATCAATTTCAGGCTGGACGGGAGCCAGCGGGAGCCTGGTAGTAGTCACTCGATGAGTGGATACGAATAGCCATTGACCGCACAGATTACAATTTGATGGAGCATGATGTGAAATTCCGAACGCCGCAACGCTATGAATCGGACAGCGTGACGCCATCATGAGCTGTCAGAAACTCGACAGTGGTTCCAGGCGATGCCTTATATGCACATGATCAATTTGCGAAGAAATAAGATGGATGAAGTGAACCAGTCGGATGTATGAAGCAAAAACTGCTCAACGCTTCAGCCAAGTTTAGCGTACAGAGGATTCCCAATTCTCAAGGCACGTCGGCAAAATTACGTAATAACAGTTTGACCATGATGGTCCTCTCACTGGCATGGTCGAATTTTGACCATAAAGATGCTAAAATAGGTCAAAATTGAGAGACTTATTCTTGATACTTTAGCCTCTTTTAGGGTATTTTCGCCTTGAAAAAGTTGTCCATGTTTCTAGTATCTAATTTTATCGCACATATATCCTCACACCGTGCCAAGTGACGGCCCACTCTCAGCTGTATGGAAAGGGTTGTCCTAGCCGCAAAGATTCGTATTTACCGCTATGGTGAATACCCTATCATGATATTTGAAAGCCTTTCAACTGACTCACAACTCATGATGTAGGTCCACATCAATGACAAGAAGTTTGCCTGGTACCCACATCTCTCTTGTCTGTACCTCCGTGCTGGTGTTGACTTTGACATCACAGCGAATCGTGCATTAAAGGACATCGATCCTCTTCTTGTCATCACTCTGAACGACCGCTGTTCGAAGTAAAGAAGAAAGGTCGCCCGGTATCGCAGTGTAAAACATGCCGCGAACTGCGAAACTCAAAGCGATTCCACTCAAAGTGTACTTGTAACCCGAGGGAGGTAGTCGACAAAATTCCCATACCAGCAGCTCGCCCAGACAGGAAACGTAAGTCACACATGTGTACTAATACAATCATTTCTAAACCAGAGTCTCGCAGCGAAACGATTCATGCCGACGGTACCTACACTGCCTAATGGAATATCAGATGCCTTGTCAACCTCGTCTTCCTCGCAGCTTACAAATAGAAGACAGACAGGTAATGATAAACATGCACAAACTTGCTCGCACACAATGACTTACAGGGTTCTAGTTGATTCACTGCTGAACCCTTGCCACTGTAAGAATGTTTGGCAGTGCCTGGGCAGCTGTCGATCTATGCCTCTTAGGAGTTCCCCAGCACCTGCAACTGAATCATCTCCAAACGGTCTAGCCATGCTCGCCAAAGCAGCTGCACTGATCCGTGAGGATGTCGTTTCGTGTCCAACGACCCAATGCTCCGAGAAATCTTCTGTATCTTCGAAGTCGTGCTGTATCAAAGACGCCCAAACAGCAGTTGTTCCCTCAGTCCGATTTGATCTCCCCCCCGTCTATATTGACACTCTCATGTCAACGCCACCTTCATCTTCAATGACAGTACCAGAGTTCCCTACAATCCCTCCATTCAGCGCTTTCAACTCAATCGCTGGGTCTGGGTGCACCTGCGGACTTCAGTGCGCTTGTCCAGGCTGCGTGAAGCATCGTGGGCCTGTTCATGCTTTGAAGGAGCACAAAGATTGTGCTGAAGGGTGTAACCACTGCGTCGACCACTCTGCAGGCGTTGAGCTTCCAGCTCTAGGGCAAGGTGCTAGCGGAAACAGCATGATCGACCAATTTTTCGCGCGGGCTGCGTCCCTACCCATTCCTCCAGTGAATCGTAAAGTTGGGGTTGAGTTCGATCCAACAGACATTACAATCTATCCTGTGGACCTTTTTACAAAGTCAGTTAAAGAATACGAGGTGCGAGGTGCAGCATTCGGACTAGTGACCGTGCCGAAGCTTGAGTGTTGTGGGGGACGGTGTGGTTGTCCATCCGACGACTGCGGATGCGGGCAATCTTGTGATGGTTGTCCTGATGGCCAACATGTTCACAACCGGTCAGAACCTGTTAGCTAACGGGAATTTTTATGCATTGAAGTTTGGGCGTATGATAGTCAGACTCATACTTTAAATTTTAATTTCCTGCTTAATGCTTAATTCCCTCATACCAGGGTCCCGGATAACACTCGTGGAGGCTTTTACAACGTCCTATCAAAATATATCAAATTATTCCAAGCTACGACGTATGGTAGGATGCTATTGGCACGGGAGGCATATGTTCGCATTTTCGTTTTCGTTCAGTATTGGATTATTGATTCAAATGTAACACAAAATCATCTCACACTCGAGGCCGTTCTCGAATCTCGATCATCGGGCCTGACATGCAGGTTCGAAACAAACGTAAGTATTCATACTTCTCTTGGTGACTGATTGTCTCAAGCTGCTAATGCCTTCCCCACTTCTGGCACCTTCTTCCCTTCCGATACCTTTCCCTTCTGCCGGTATCGTTGACGCTGAGCACCGTCGTAATGCAGAATAAACTGATAATCTCTTACCCCGTTGACAAGACTGATACCACCACGAAACCGGAAGGAGCCTATCATCACTGGCTGGGCAGGTACATTATCCATTCCAACCGGTAGCGAAAGGGTGACGGGTGAAAGATAGAGAATGGTGATTGGTGCCTTGTAAATTCGTTACTATCATTCAAGTAGCAGGTGATCCAGCTGGTAAACCTCCAATCCTTCATAGTGGACCCCTTCAGGGAATGCCACGGCAACGTTCCAATACCCACTTCTGCAAGCTCAATCATTACTATCAAATAGTGCACAAGATCCAGAAGTCATTTTATAAAGCTTCAGGTATCGAGATTCCAACTACAATGACTTATTGCCACTCGACGGTCTTTTGAACCCAGACCACTTGATTTTCCCTTCCTTGCGATTTTCCCTGTTACAAACAAAAATTGCGGAAAAGCGGAATAGATCCGTAGTGTATTTTTGCGGTCTATAGCCTGCATTCTCAGCAGTAATATCAATACGTCGAGCAGGCTGACAGTCATAAAAAAAACCTACGGTGATTATACCGTGACGAGTAAAGGTAAGGTTTTGTTCCCGAGCTACATTATTAGTCCAGGGCGAAATTGCGCAAGCTTGAGTGACGCGCTGGGGGCCCCCTAGACTAGATAGTATTGTCCTCCATAGAGTATAACTCTCCGAACAATTGAATTGAAAAAAAAGCTTGAGTGACCCTCTGAAATTTTGAATCGGCGAACCTGCTACACGGCGTCCGCTAAACCCTTCTCGTATTACTCGGGATCCCTTGTGTCCCGGTCAGGAGTACGAGCCAGAAGGTCGGGTTTCTTCCCAGTAAATTTGGAACTCCCCTCGTCTGATAGTAGGTTCGAATTCGGTTGTATTGTTCCTGCTTGTTCATGTACTCCACTACAAAATGCACCCCGTTTCTTCGATGGCTCCTTGATGCACCTGTATTGTAGTCCTAGCAAGATATGATTTTCCACTTGCGATGATTCTGCGTAATACTACGTCTAGGCGCTTATGCATCAAAGTTGACGCGCTCTCACCACGCCATCAATATTCCTGTCTATTTACTTCCGCAATTAAAATTCTTAGGGAGGGGGATCGGTATAACTTCCTTCTTAGATCAGAGCTCGTTGATGGCCGTCACTGCTTTTGAGTAGTTCCAGCAGTCGTGATACTGCTCAATACCCACGACGATCCAAATTCAGGTGTAGAACCTCGTTTTCGAAATCACACTTGCAGTGCTGTTAAGCTCCACCCTGCTCCACAACTGAATAAACAAGGCAGGTGTCGTGGAACAAAGAGTGGAGCTCGCTTATCACGTCAGTACATAAGCTCAAGTGAGGTTTTATCGGGAATTCTCAGTACTTGCACACAAACTAGCACGTCTAAACACAACGATTACATGGAAGACTGGTGGGGCATGGATACAGGAGGTGAATATTTAGATAGATGTTAGCGGTACACGACGGTGAGTGATGTACATCTATGTGATGAAAGTGGGGTCGCATTAATTTATAACTACAAAAAGAAAAAGAACACAGGGACAGGACGTCTGCCTGGGGGATCACATGTTGGGTAGCGTTGCTGTGAGTAATATTTTTCCCCGTTCGTATCCTTTCCGCATCAAGAGATTTGATGCAGATTCAAGCTAGCTCGCTGTAGATGACGTTAGAGATAGGCATCATAGACATGGGATGGGTGCAGCACGATGGTTAGTGGGTAGGCGCAGATAGGAGTCATAGATCGCATCAAAATCGGGAAGCTGAAGAATCTATTCATGAACAGACCACGGGAAAACCAGCATGCGGACTTACTTCTAGTGTCTCTCGGCAAGCGAAAGTTGCTCAATCACTAATTTGCAGTGACAGATGGTCCAGTCCACTCTGGTGCCATAGGTCCCATACCCAGACAAGTCGTGTTCCCACTTTCAGCTTTCGACACCCCATCAGTTCCACCTGGCAAAACTTGTGGGGCACCAGCAGCTAACTCGAAAACGGCAAGGACTTTTTCGTCGCTAAGCGTCCTGCGTTTGATACTGGGGCGCTTCGCGAAAGATACGATACCGGATTTGTCTTCCCTAAGTAGTTCAGTAGGACTGGGGGCACGTTTCCACTTCGACGGCGACGAGGACGTATGATGCATCTGGCTGCCGCTGGCGGAGCTCCGCATGCTCGCCGCGGGGAACGAGCACGTCCGATCCCGGGAACCTTTACTCCATCTTATGCTAGGGATCTCCATGATATCGGGGTTCTTGGAGGACGTCTTGCGGATATCCTCCCCCTCGTTGATATTCGACACTCTCACCGATTCTGGACTCCCCTCGCTTCCAGTGCATTCCCCCCACAACTCTCTCTCCTCGTCCACCATCATAAGGGCGCCCTCGATGACCGCCGCGTGCACGAACACATACTGTCGCAAGCTCTGGCAAAGACTCATCCTTTGCTCACGCATATCTTGCACGATCGTCCAGATGGGGTTGGTATGGGCCATTAATGGTGCGGGTGACAGGTCCTGATGCAGCTGTCGTGGAAGCTTATAGTCGATCACAGCGTGACCCGCCGTACGTTGGTCCAGCTCAGATGATACCTGCTCGGCATCAAGATTCTTCTCCTCAACGAACTGAGGCGCGGGTGGTATTGACGACGGCACAACAGCAACTTGTGCTGCAGAGGGTTTGGTTATGTTGGTGGGCATATGTTGCTTAGGCATACTGGTGGGCTTGATCATCGCTCCCCGGTTTGGTGCAGCACTAATCGCAGAGGTCGTTTCGACCGCCTTTAACCCACTCTTCGCCTTCCCCGACGCCACCATGTCCTCCGACTCATCCGACGACAAAAGGCTGCTCTTCCCACTGGTAGCTTCCACATCCGCGTTCCCCCCACATTCCAAACTTCTCGGGGGGCTCAACAGTTCGTCCGAGCTAGGGGCCGAGTTCGTGCGCGAAACAGGGTATTCACCCTCGAAAAATAAATCGCGACCGGTTTCACTCGTCGTGGGAAGTGCGGGTGTGGAGAAACTCGCCATAGCAGACGAACCGACGATCTGTCGTGCCCGGGGATGCAGATTGGAATTGTTGGCGTGGGAGGCGTTGGACTCGTTCGAAACAGTGACACCACTCTTGGCTGGCTGCAGCGGTGCAGATGAAGAACGCGGAGGCCTATCAACGTCCATCGCATCTTCCTTATCGGTGTCTGCCGAAGGCTGGCACACTGACCTTGAAAGTTTTTCGTTCGAAGAATCAGAACCCGTATTCGAAAGCGAGGTCACTGAGCTGTCTCTCAGACGAGCGCGCATGAAGCCCACTAACCCTGAGTCCGCGCCGGTGCTACCCCAAAAGCCAGAGTTGGATGTGTTCGTCCCAGAGCCAGAGTTGGAGGTGGAGATCGAGTCAGGACATGAATTGGATTGAGAAGCGGAGTGAGAGATGGAGATGGAGACAGAAGAGGAGGGTGGGAAGGCCCCACCGCTACCACTTCCCGAGACGCTGCTAGCACCACTCCTTCCAGAGCCAGAGCCAGAGCCGGACCGCCCGCTCCCTGCCTTAACGTCGACACCAATACCGCTGCCGCTATTACTCCCCACGGAATCATCTGCAGAGTTCAATGCAGATGGTCCACCACTACTTGACATGCTCCCGGGCGAGCCTTGGCGACTAGGGGTGGGTAAGCTCAAAGACATCGAGAGGGGCAAAGGTGGAGGCAACTTTGTCTCCTGTTCTTCCTCGCCAGGGTGCGTCTGGTCCAATACCTGCTCAGCCCACTCCCTCGTCGACGAGCTTGTGTTCTGCCACCTCGTATCCAGATCTGCTGTCTCTTCTGCGAAGGGTACGTGCACGACAAGCGACTCTGAAGAGCTTGTCTCGCCTTCTTTGGCTGCACCTTTCTGTGGATGATGACGGCGAGCCTTCTTGCGGTCGCCAATGACTAGAGGGACAGTCCCAACGATATTCTCCTTTGGCTTCTCCTTCTCTTTCACCTGGTTCACATCCACATCCATCCCACCGCTCTCCGTCCCACTTCCGCTCTCCGCAACCACGCTCTCGCTCTCCTGCCTACCAGCGACAACAGCAACGCGCGCACGAGCCTGAGCCCGAGCCCTACTTTCCCTCCTCTGCTTCAATTCCCTCCTAATCGCATCTAACGCAGCATCCACAGCAATAAACCCGCCTGTCCTGCCCACACCCGCCGAGCAATGCAATAGCACAGGCGGAGAGCACCCAAGCGCAAACGCAGCAATGCCCGTCTTCGGGTCTAGTTCAGGATGCCGCCACCCCTTGCGTCCAAGTTTCCTTCTAGCGCTTGCATCTCCAAGCGGCGGGGACGAGAAGAAGTCCTCTCCTCGCTTCCCTGGGGACCCAGAGGATGCTGAAAGGGAGCCAGAACAGGAGCCGGAGTTTGAATGAGAGCCAGAGGGGGATGGACCTGGAGTGCTTTCTTGGACAGCGCGCTCGACGCACTTCACGAGCTTTAGTACGCCACGAGGATCATCAGGTACATTCATGTCGGGCCAATCCAGATATTGCAGATGCGTCACTTTTCTAGGTGGAACGCCTGGGTAACCGCGATGGCTGAGCGCAAAAGTCCTCACGATCATACTTGGCTGCTTCGAGCCCTTATCACGCGGGGACATGAAGAACCCAATATCAGCGGAGGTATTACAGGAAGTAGAAGGTGAGATGGGCGGGGAGGTGTTGAGGAGCTGCAATTGAAGAGGTCCATAGGATGACTCTACCCAATACGTCCCACATTTAACCATCGCATTCTCAATCTCGCGCGTGAGCATGACGATAACATGAACATTCTGCTCCCACACGAGACTAACGTTTTGTCAGCGTTCACGAAGATAAAGAAAGTTGATAGCAAACAGAACTCACGTCCAAAAATCAATAAATGTCGCAGGTAACGGGCCTTGCGTAGCGATGTAGCGTTTACGTGTGCCCAAGGGCTGCACATACGACGCGTTCACATAATCATCTGCGGGTGAGGGATCGCGTGGTCTATCTGTCGGAGGAACCACCGTCACGTTGAATTGTGGCAAACTCGCGCCCGTGACTGAAATCGGTCCTTGGCTAATAGGTCCGCGGGGTAATGTCAAGTTGAACATCTCCCGCTGAGACCCAAGGGGTGTGTAAGAGGGCATGACCAATGGTGAGACAGTTTTGGGCCCTGTATTCTGAGGTGATCTTGGCCGAGTACCCAATATAGACGGTGACAGGAAACCTCCCGATCGATGTAGCGTGCGCGTGTCCAGCCGGGACGGGGATGGCATTGGGCCATCTTCTGGAATCGGAGGGATCTGCGAAGTTTCTGAAGGGGGAAAGGTTGGGAAGTAGGCGTCGCTTCCGCCACCACTACTGCGTGGAAATAGATTGAAGGGTATCATAGCCACGCCCCCGCGCGTCAAAGCAGACGAGGGAGGGCCGAAGGGTGTCATGGGCATGGAGAGTGGTGTGTGGAAAGCGGATTCCGAATAGAACGGTGACATCAGCACAGAAGACGGAGGCGGCATACCCGACAATGACGGCATACAGATAGTATTACTATCGACGCTCATCAACATATTCCGATCATCTTCCGGTGCGTTTGGCGACGGGGCAGCTGAAAGTGAGGCTAATTGGGATTCTGACGAAGATGCAAATGTGGTGGTTGATTCGGAGCCGGTCGTCCCAGCAGCTGCACAGACGGAAGCGACTTTTTTCTTGTCGTCCTTGTCTCGCTTGGAGCCATGCCCTGCATGTGACCCTTGGTGACGGCCATCATGAAGACGGACACGAGCATGCTCGAAGGGCCATATATGGTTGTATCTGAAGAAACAGAATGAGTTTGGGTTTGGGTTTTGATAGGATATGCGGAGAAAAGAGGTCGTGTTGATGTAGGTAAGTTTTTAATACAAGAAAATGCACAATAACTACGATGACACGCGCAAAACCACCATCACTATCAAGACAACCCATCCAAGATCGTCAGATCCCAAAACAAGCAGGAGCTTGGCGGAATGGCTTTGGCGCACGAAATAATTTTGAAGACTCATCAAGTGATGATGTGGGTGGAGCTCGGCATTGGTCGGGTGTACACCGATGACGCAATGAGGAGCCAAAATGTCGGGATGTACACAACGATGAAGAAAACGCGATGACATCGGAACAAACACGACGATAAGGATAAAAAGACGCACCTGTTCTTGGCTCCCTTCTCGACGCCTGCCGTAATACTAAATGGAAATGCGCCTTGAACGGGAGTAGAAGGAAGGGTCTTTAAGCCTGGTGAACGTGCACCAGCACCAATGATACCCTGCCCACCTTCACCCAAGGTGTAGGCTTGACCAGCAGCAGTATACGCGCTGACCTCGCTTTCCCTTGCATGATGCTCCATGACGCTTCTCAGACGCCTTTGCTCTGCCAATTCTATGCGGTAAAACTGCATGGCAAGAGTTTCAGCGCCTTCCTCCACGTCAGGGTCATTTGAGTCTGGATCAGATTCATGTGGATCATCAGAGCTCTCGCTGCCGCTCTCTACACTCGTTTCCCCTGGGAATGAAGAGTGAGAGGGACGAAGGGCAGAACGACCAGCGATGTCTTGAAGCCAACGAAATGGGAGGTCTTTGATGCGTCTCCGTACGCGCCTGGGAAGACGGAGTGGGATACGTTCCGTGATTCCCTGGCTGAGTTCCAAGTTCTGGCGGATGGTATCGAAGAAAGGGTTGGCAGCATTTGCGACTGCTGGTGTACCCGAAGCTGCATTTGCAGCCGTTGTCGTTGAAAGCGAAAAGGCGGCTTTGGGGAGATGCTTTGGACGCAGTGCTCCAGAGGAGGCACTGCCTTCTGGATCATCCTCGTCTGGACTAGGGTGGTCGGTTGTGGCGCAGTGGCGTGCATCTCGCCACACAGCTTGAAACCCGCCTTTTACCCAGGCGAGTTCGCCTGTGAAACCCTCTGCGCGGAATTTTCTCAGCAGACCAGCAATGTTACTGGTATCTGGAACGAGAGCAGAGTCAGCGTCATATACCAATATATGGTTTACGGTTGGCCATGCTGCAAATCTTGCACGTGCAGATGAGGAAGGAAGCATCTGAACGAGTTTGGAGAGACCAAAGAGAGGACGCTTGATGAGAGTACTTGGTATGCTAAGGGAGAGGGCTCGGTGAATACGGGCGGCGGTATGGGCGGCATGTGGACGGATATCGAGGATGAGAATGGAGGGGTCTGCGAGGTAAGCTGCGAGGTCGGAAGGGTTAACTGGTACGAAGGTGGATGACGACGAGGATGAAGATACGGGTTTTGAGGGGGGTGGAAGAACTGGTTTAGGTGGCAAAATAATATTTTGTGAAGGTGGTTGTTCGTCGGGGAGGATACGTGCGGTGAGAAGATCAGCGGATCCGAAGCGTGCTGCGATAGCATGAGCGAATGAAACGACATTCTCTTGATCTGTTGAGTGTGTTCTTCCCTGTTGACCAGAGAAGGGTACGCTCGTAAAGAAATCGTTGTTGCTCATCGCAGGCAACAGTGACAAAGGCACCTGGCCTCAGTGACTGTGAGGTTAACGTTTACGTTAACGTTCTTACCTTGAATTTTTGGTTCTCGGACTCGAGAAATCTTCAAGCTTATCCTTCGTCACGGGGCCTGATGTCATAAGGGCCAGAACACAGTCTAGACCCATGACGTTGCATGTGCGCCGTCGGATGTCCATTACCAATCCTTGTTTTAATTTTCAACTCATGAGAATAAATTTCATGATCAATGATCAACGTTTTGTCACGTCGGAAATTCCTAATCTGGATTTCAATGCCAGGCAAAAATTGGTTAAATAATAAAGTAATCCTTGAATCGCCACAGAAAAGTCACTGCAATAGCATTGCAACAGTCTTGCAATGAGTACGGCACGCTATACCCGTATTATTGCAATATATTGAAAAATATTAAAATTCTTTGCTTCGTATATACGTGCCGGAAAATTGGAAATGACCGTCCGCTCCGTTCCTCCCGTTGGTTCTGTCCGTACCGTGCGACTCTAATTTGGCTATTCGGAACGCCTCGGAATTCCTCCAAAATCTATATTTTTTTCAGGATTTGGGCCAACTTTGGGTGCGTCACTGGGCAGCACAACCTCACGAATGATATGTCCCTGAAGCTTGAAGCTTGAGGCCTGTTGCCAATTGCAACGAGGTAAACGTGGACATGATCTCTAACATTAGGCCAGGGATACTGACAGTGGACGGATAGATGCGACGTCGACGGATAGGCCGGTCCGACAGAATTTTTGAGGTTCCCTCATTGCTTCATATATCCATACCTCATTGCAACCACTTTTGGAAATTTGCGGCACACCCGCACTACATCTCACTCCACATCGTGTTGGAACATCACCTGTTTCTTGGCATTTTGCCTCCCTGGCAGCCTTGCGGGAACCTCTAGGGACCGCCGTGTAAATATGTACACGTGCATAATCGATTCTGCCGTGTCGTTCGTGAGTCAACTGAATGTCTGTGTAGGTGAACTGATCCTAAAGAACGCACGTCTCACTTGCGGTCCGATGTCGATCCAAATCTTTTCTCAAATTTTATGCACTGGCACACAGTCGGTCGTTCTCTGTATCTTTCCAAGCGTTGACAACACGATTTTTTGGGCCAATCACTAAGTTCTATATCACGAACGAAAGAATTCCACCTGGGTTCTTCGTATTGCGGTGATACAAAGTTCATATGATATCATTCCCGCTCGACCGTTATCTCATCTACTTAATTTCAAGTTCACATCAAGGGAAACATGCAACGCGATATCCTATATTAAGGCAGTGTACCCGTGGGCCGTGGTACACCATCACGGTGACGTACTTCTATAGCCCAATGTGCACACCTACGCTCTCCCAGCGTCGCTTCGAGGTCGCAGGACCGCAATTGCCAAGCGCCGTGGCAGGGGCGTTGCTGATAAATTGTTGGAGTAATGACATGCATGTACGTATTAGATCTTTTGGAACTAGCCTTTGTGACGAGACAATAAAGCCGACCTTCTGGATCTGGTACGCAACTGCCAGATAGGCTGCGCGGGTATATATGTATCCCCGAGTCAAACGATTCTGCGATGCAGTGATGATGATCGATAATCAGTGATGCATAGGTGACGCGGTGGCGACTTTGTTACGGGCTACGTGGCCCAGGTCTCTATTGGTAATTGAATTTGAGACCTGCAGACTGTTATCCTTGAAATTTCATGTATGGCTTTGACGAGTCTGTTTGCCCCCGTCGACGGTGCCAGTGGTAGTTTTCGCCAGTCGTTTGCAATGATGTTGATACTGTCGATCCCAGAGATATAGTCTGAGTCGGGGGCCCGCGCCCGCGGCGGCCCGTCCGCTAAGATACTTCGTACCAAAGCATCATGTGGAACGTGGAACCGAATTTACTCACAACTCAGTCCTACAGTAGTCGTCGACTCTAGCTATAGCTTGCTGGTAACTGACACATTGCCAAGCAAGTTTTGTTCCAAAGAATCGAAGCCAAGGGCCACAATGAGGCTGGCCATTGCTCTATTTTCCTCAATTCTCTTGCTCACAGCGGCTAATGCAGCATCTCCAAGCGGAGCAGATTACATTCGCGCTCATGGTGCTCAAGGAGTCAACTTCTGGAGGCTCGCCAACCAAAAAAGAGAAAAAGATAGGCATATCAGCCAAAGACCGGCTCTAGTCGTCCAAGACAGCAGCAACATCGTGTTTAAGGCGGACACCGACGAACCCAGCGAGTTCCCGGACCAATGGTTCACGCAGCCTATAGATCATTTCGCAGACTCGTCAGACACGTTCAAGCAGCGGTACTGGATCAATACCCGTCATTATACCCCAGGTTCTGGCGGCCCAGTGATTGTTTTGGATGGCGGTGAGACGAGTGGCGAGGACCGTATTCCCTTCTTGGATACTGGTATCGTCGAGATATTGGCCAGGGCGACAGGAGGAGTCGGGATCGTGCTTGAGCACCGTTATTATGGTGAGTTCGCGAGGATCTTGAAAGAACTTTACTCGCATTTGACCTATTCATGATTGCGCAGGAAAGTCTATACCTGTCTCAGACTTCTCCACTGACAACCTGAGGTGAATTACCTGCATGCCCGTATCACACGTATCTGAGAATTGATGGAGCGTAGATGGTTGAACAATGATCAAGCTGCCGCTGACTCGGCTCGGTTCATGGCGAACGTGACGTTTACTGGCATTGATGAGGATCTGACAGCTCCGAACACTCCATGGATATACTATGGTGTAAGGCATTATAATTGCTGAATAAGACAGTGTTCCTTACCAGCACTAACAGGGTTCCTATGCCGGCGCTCGAGCAGCTCATATGAAAGTTCTATACCCCGATCTCGTCTACGGTGCAATTGCTTCCAGCGGTAAGTCATAAGAACGATACACCGTGACCAAGTCCATCTGTGAATTGACTCGCCAACAGGCGTGACGCACGCCACGCTATCAAATTGGGAATATCACGAGATCATTCGAAACGCTGCAGACCCTACATGCGCTAGGCAACTCGAGCACGCCACCCTAGCAATCGATGCCCTCCTGGGCGTGCCCTATGCAAAGCGATTTGTCAAGTCATTGTTTGGTCTTGAAGATCTCGCGCATGACGATGATTTCGTTTCCGTTTTGGAGGTATGTCTCTAACCCATTGCGAATCATCCGCGTGTGTTGACGGTGCAAAAACTAGGCTCCTCTTGGTTATTGGCAAGCTAAAGTCTGGGACCCTGCTGTAGGGAGCACCAAATTCGACGAGTTCTGTGCTTTCTTGGATAAGCCTATCCTTGGAAATGGTAGCATTTTGTCGCTACCCGTCGGCCATGAAGATCGCCTCGTTCATCTTCCTGGTGGCATCAAGCTCGACTTCTCCATCCTGAACTACGCTCAATACATCAAAGAGGTAAGGTCCATCGAATCTGACTGGTAGGGCGTGATTTCTGAGCACCAATAGAATTATGTCTCGCAATGCGACACGTCTGTGGAGGATGTAAGCCCCATCGTCGTGTGTCGAATGTTTTCTAACGAAAGAAAACAAACAGTGTTTTGGCACCTACAACGATAGCAATTTTCTTGCCACTGGTTTAGACCAGGAATGGCGGTTGTGGCTATTCCAGGTTTGCACAGAGTGGGGCTACTTCTCGGTGGGTTGTCAAACACGCGCTTTCCTCGAGCAGTCCATGAATGCATACTTTCATTGTAGACCTCGCCCCCCGACCCAGCCCACCCACGAATCGTCTCCAAGTTGTTAACACTGGAGTACTCGTCGAAGATTTGCAGACAGGTGCGTCGGAGTCGGTTCGCGCAGCAGCGGGACTCATACGGACTTTGGCTAGGCTTATCCAGCTGGGAAGTACTTTATTGTACCGCCCATGCCCAATATCACTGCTGTGAACGCATTGGGTGATTTCGCGATTGCTGCTGACAGGCTAGCGATCATCGATGGCGAGGGTGAGTTTTCTCTATCGCGGTGTTTACTTGGGCGCAACGTGCTAATCCCCGTGTCAAGTCGACCCTTGGAGACCTTGTACGCCCCACAGCGATTACGCAGCTGACCGCGAAGATACGATCCTTCAACCTTTTAAGATCATTCCAAGTACGTATCGACAGCTTGACTGCTATATGTATGTACATCTGATGGCGGTCGATGTAGACGCTGTTCATCATTATGATGAGTACGGATTGAAGAATATCAGCGACGAGCCTGAGGAAATTAGAAAGATTCATGAGCAGATGATTGTTTTCGTTATGGAGTGGTTGAAGGGTTTCAAGGCACCAGGTTCGCGATGATTTTTTCTTGTATTTAACGGTTATTTTCAGAGCGTACGCTCGAAGATATGTGAGTAATTATTTCTGTATCTTCCCGGTTGTGGGTTCATTGAACAAATGGAAGAACTCCGATTGTGACCGAAAAATGTAATGCGATGCGCGAAGGCAACTGGGTCCCTGCAGATCGGAACGCACGTTCATGTTTGACAGCGTCACGACTGTCAAGTTCCGGGGAAAATATGTTATTGCAAGAAACGTCCGAGCCAGATATCAGAATTCCACGCGTCAGCCATGTGCATGAAGATTTGAAAGTGTACCAGTGAATAAGATTTATATTTATCCCTGTTGATTTGGTCGCAACAAACAATCATAGGAGGTCCAACGACCCCTAGTAGCTTATAGACTCCAATCCTCTCCTTGTACTTAACTTGAAAGCTTTAAACATCGTACCTCAATGTCTATTCCCAGAGACATACCATTTCGGGGGAAGACCATGACTGAAACGGAACGAAACCCGCAACTTCTTGTTCTCAAACATGGTCAAAAGCGGGTCATAGTTAAACGGCAAAGGCCGTATAATGTGAGCGGGACAAGTATTTACATAAATATTTGATGGCTCAGATATTTTAAGCTCATGCTTGACTCCGCCTGCCAACATTTCCCAAGCATTCCAAGAGATGTGGTCACGTTGCAGACCAATCGACTCGATGTTAGTGGTGGCTACTATGCGGACATCACAGCTGAGCGCTGAAATATGGGACGATGTCATTCACTTGCTTAACGTCGTTGAGGTGCTCAACGTGAGGAAATGACATTGCCCGTCGACGTCCCATTGCCTGACAATCAATCGGCGCACTAAGTCAGGTTATCGAACAGGGCAAGCTGGCTCGTACGCAGCCCCAAATATTCTACAAGTGTTTTCAGTACTGAAGTTGATGCCACATAGCAGGGATGATGAGAAAGTCACAATCAATGTTTTTTTTCCCATCTGGCGAGATTCACACTGCTGAAATCTCGAGGGAAGTGCGGGTGGACAAACTTGTTGCTGATGCTTGTCAGATATATATTGGGACATTGTCCTACTCCTGTCAGGGCAGATTTGGGTGAGATAATAATACATGCGAAGAGTATCGGATCGTACAACATCGAGGATGGTGACTCCATCAATTCTAAAGTTTATGTGTCTCGGCAACGAAAGCCAGTCATTTATCTATACTCGCTCTCCGATATCGATGTTTCCTTTAAGCTCACCCTCGTTCCTGAATGGAGCCTCTCTGTCGTCTATCCCACCGTTACCACAGAAGACCATGGACAGCGTTTAGAATGGAATGTCCACACCTATCAAGATGGAAAATACATTGCCCTCCGATTTGTCCCTCAAGCGGCATTCGAACGCGCCGCTTCTTTAAGCATTTCTCCGCAGCCTGACGTCGTGACTCGCGTTTCAAAGGTATCTGTAAGAAGCACCTAGCAAATTGGGCTAATGCACGAATGCAAGCAGAGAAAGACGTTGCATGGCGGGTGGGTGTAGTTGGAATTGATCCTGTAAGAGCTGGTGATGTGACTTTGATCAGGGTGTTGGAATGGGGTGGAACGGAGGATGTTCTACTTGGGCCGAACACGAGGATCTAGAACTTCTGGAAGAGTACACCGAATGCGCGTCTCAGGTAGCTATAGCGTCCCCTTTTCTGTTGTTTTGTCATCAGGATCGTTTGGTAGATATAAGGCGACAAATCAAAGGCTTGGTGCCCACCATTCTCCTAGCCTCATACACACTCCCGTCCTACACATCACCACCAGTTGACGTACGTACATGCATCTGAAAATCAATAGTAGGACTCGTCCCCCCTTCATCGTAATCGTCCAAAATTTTAGCATTAAGCTCTCTGACACTGAGGATAAGGCGTGGTCCCAGCACAAACAGTTGCACGAGCCCAAAAAATATAAGAATGCCAGAATAAACCTGACTTCCCACAGACAACGAGTTCTATGAAAATAATGAACAGGGGCCATATACAGATGTCAACGTCTTACCTCAAGTTTTGGAGAGAAATAACCGAGGTGAAAGCAGGTACTGGCGACAAAGCTAACGCACGCAGAATTTCAGCCCAAAACTTATGATGACCAAATTCAAATCATGAGCTCACCATGTGAAATAAAGCATGTGAGTTTTCATTAACACCGCGAAACAATCCCCCATGATTGATCCTGTCGATGGTTGTTGACTGAAGTGCTTTACAGCAACCCAGGCTGCAAGACACAGTGCGATGACCTCCCATACAGTACCGAGTATCCAAGTCTTGGGGATCAGAAGTTGAGTATTTCCCTGAAAGTCAAAATCGCACTGGTAGCTGCCAGATAAAATGAGCTCCTCTGAAATCCGCTTGATGAGCTTCGTGCCTTAAGTCTTTCGACCACAGTTGAAGCTTACTTCCTGAAGTATGTTTATCCAATATTCCGATCATTACTGCGCAGGCGATTGTGACGGCCGAGAAGATAACAATGAGGAAGATCAGCACCCTCTTGGATTGCTGGTACATGGCATGTAACCGAGTGATCATTATGACTTCCATAATGCTTCAGTCAAGTCGATATCACCGAGGTATCGAGCTCACCGCCCAGCATGGCATTTAAAACAAAACTCGACCAATCTAATACCGAAAACATGATGGTGCCTGAGACACCCAGTTATTGATTAACCTTGGCAGACCAAACATCCTAAACAAACTCACAGCTGTTTGCAGTCATATAATAAAACGACAAGCTGGTCAAGAATCTCACTCACCCCTACATTGGAGCGCAGTTAATTGAAAGGGAATATCATGCATCGGTCCAGAATACTCACTGCATCTGTCACGAGGAATGTCGGAAGAGTTGCTGCGTGCCGCTGGTCAGAAGACATGAAAAGGTACACATGATGGGCCATACACAGTATGTTAACGCTGATTGCGAGATGGTTTATGAGCATAGCGCCAACTAGTAGACTTGCATACATACACAGAGTATGGTATCCCAACGTAGCGCACCTAGCAGAATGTTTTGAACTTAGCACAACTTGCAAAACGTACTGATAACGAGCTACTTACACTGAGATATAGGAAAGTCACGATTGACCAACGTTGGCTCTGCCCCGAATCAATTGTATTATGATGTTATTCTTTTGATGTGGGACTTTGCTCACCCAGATCAAATCAACCTGTGAAACGATTCTGAGTGAAGATGTTGCTCTTGTAATGGTATCAACTTACCTCCTGTCCAAATGACAAGGCTGGAAATACTATAAGATGACGGAAGTAGTTCTTCGATACTATCTTGCTCACCAAAATCGTATATCACAGCGACAGCAGAGGCAACTGCGAAATGGGGCCGCAATCAAGCTTAGATGACATCATTATTCGAGTGAGTTCACGTACCTATAATATAGCTGACAAAATGAGATGCATAGACGTACGGCCACAAACTGGGATCATTCGAGACTAAGGTCATATTCGAGGATGGGTGTCAGTGAGAGGTGGATTTGGTTGACGTACTGTAACGCTGGCATCGTTCAGACTGATATACCACCATCCAGCGCATTCTCGCCGAAATAGGCGGCTTGAATTGTTGTTCCTACTGAAGTAATTATCAACAAAAGTACTTTAAGAAGTAGAACGTGGAAATCCTCGGAAATCCGGGAAGCAAGGACTTCGTCAGCACAAACCTTGCTTGCCATGGCAGCAAGGAACGACTCCCTTCTTTCTAGTATATGGTTTGGCTAGGGGAAACACTACCTTTGCAGCTCCCTGAAGGATGCAGCAATTCAGAAAAACTGTCTTTACCGTTTGACGCGGTGTTATGCATTTTCGTTGTTCAAACTTTGCTGTGTTTGCGTGTGGTAGTGATTCCCTTGGACAGACCTTTATAGATGGGCCTTCTAAGAGCAAAGCGAAGCAGTGTGTCGCGCAGATAATTCCGAGATGTCGTTCGCATTGATTTAAGGAGCATGACGTAGTCATCATAGAGTCCAGACCTCAGGCTCGTGTTGTGTCTCAATATGGAGAGGATACGCGCTCTCAGCTCCACTTGGCTAGCCCAGCCTGTCGGGGAATAAAGCTTAAGTATAGTAGCCACATTAACTGTGGCAAGCAGAAAACTCACCTCTCCTACCGACATCTTCCGAAAAACACACTCCTTTGAATTCATCATGCCCAGGTTATGTGACAGCCAGGCGAGACTGACCTGGTGAATACATCCTGGCTCAAATGGTATGCCATGGAGATGCTAGATCATATCCTCATGATATCACGCACATTCTCACTTCCAGTCTTCCTAGTTACATAATTGACCGTCGGTATGCCGGCTAACGCTCATTAATGCATTCCCAGGGTTGCAATCGACTGATTTTGGATTCCAGCCAATCAAAATCATGCAAGTTTTGTTTTTCCCTTAAAGCCCTTGAGTTAAACTGCTTGTTACGCTTATTCCTTCTACAGTCAAAGATTACGAACGGTCTAGTCACCCTCTTCATTGATTGGACCATGGCATCATTTATCCGCCAATTCACTTCCCCCGCGGTACCGCCTACAGCATCTTCCACTTCAAACTCATTCGTTGATATTCCCATTCCATCTTTTATTATTTCTAATTCAAAGTCTGCAACCTGGTTGTATACAACCGTTGCCATCGTCGGTGCTCTTCTCGTGCTTGAACAGTCTGTTTACAGATCCAAGAAAAAGCACTTACCTGGCGACTCATGGACAATTCCAATCATTGGAAAGTTTGCAGACTCCGTGAAACCAACCATGGAGGGCTACATGAGACAGTGGAACTCTGGCGCGTTGAGTGCTATAAGCGTGTTTAACATGTAGGTCTGACTTTGGTTACGATTGGCTGCTACTCTGAACGTGTTCTCAGTTTCATTGTCATGGCTTCATCTAACGAGTATTCGCGGAAAATCCTAAATTCTCCGACTCACGCTGAGCCTTGCCTTGTCCACTCAGCAAAGCAAATTCTCATGCCCGACAATTGGGTATTCCTAACAGGGAAATCTCACGTTGAGTATCGCAAAATTCTGAACACTTTATTTACCCGTAAAGCTCTCAGGTCAGTACTTTCAATAATTCCCATCATACTTTTCCCCCCTAATTTCGTACCTCAGTATCTACATTGGTATCCAGGATGCGATTGCTCGCCAACACTTCAGCCAATGGCTTGCAGACGCGCAGAAAGATCCTTCACCACAGGCAATTATGATGACCGCACGCAACCTCAACATGATCACTTCCCTTCGTGTTTTCTGCGGCAATCACATCCCCGAGCATGGCGCTATTGAGATCAGCGAGAAATACTGGGACATCACGCAAGCCCTCGAACTCGTCAACTTCCCTTTGGCTATCCCTGGTACAAAAGTATACAGAGCTATACAAGCCCGCAAGGTCGCCATCAAGTGGCTGGAGCTTGCTGCATCCAAGGCCAAAACCGCCATCGCTGATGGCTGCGAACCTGAATGCATGCTTGAAGAATGGGTCAAGGAATTGGAGGCCCCAGGATACAAGGGCCGTAAGGATTTCACCGACCGCGAGATGGCTATGGTTGTGTTCTCGTTCTTGTTTGCGTCGCAGGATGCTATGAGTAGTGGGTTGATTTACGGCTTCCAGCACTTGGCAGACCATCCCGACATTTTGGCCAAAATCAGGGAAGAACAGTACCGTGTTCGCGCTGGAGATGTCGAAAAAACCGATCACCCTTGAAATGCTCGACCAAATGCCATACTTGAAGGCGTTTGTCAAGGAAAGCATGCGTGTCAAGCCTCCCGTAACCATGGTTTGTACTTCGTGTGAATTCGATGGTGTTGCACTGAAATACCCTCGCTTAGGTTCCCTACAGGACGACAAAGGCTTTCCCTATCTCTAATGATTATACTGTTCCCGCAAATAGCATGGTGATACCCTCATTCTACAACTCCCTGCACGACCCCTCTGTTTTCCCCGATCACGACGAGCTCATCCCTGACCGTTGGCTCGATCCCAACAGTTCTGCCAACACGAACCCGAGGAATTACTTGGTCTTTGGTAGCGGTCCTCACAAATGCGTCGGTATAGAGTACGCGACGATGAACATCGGACTGGTTCTTGCCACCGCGAGCGTGTTGATGGACTGGGAGCACCATATCACACCCGAAAGCGATCGAGTCCAGTGAGTATCATGGCGCACGCGCGCGTTGATCACACTAACAAGTTCTGCAGGATCATTGCAACTTTGTTCCCTAAAGACGGATGCCTCATGAAGTTTACCCCTCGTCCACGACCTTGATCGTGATGATTTGTTGATTTGTGTTAGTTTTATTGAGCATATGGCTTTTACCTATACCCCCATTAGGACTTGCATTTAATTTTCTTTAGGAGAGGCATTCATGATTCTTGGGCTGCAATCATAGGTTCTGCATTTTTGGTCAGACGCGAATCGTGGCAGTCGGCTAGAATATCGACAGCGATTGTGGACCTATTAAGTATCGTGACGTCGCTTTCGCTGCTACGCGTTTTCGGCGGAGGGTAATACACATCCTGGATTAAGCCCAAGGTTCGTTTGCAAAATTACGGCGCAGAAAAGCCACCGACGTACGTCCAGTCTAAGATCTACAGCGCACAAATGTACAATAGATGTCACGAATCATATTTGGAAAGCTTGACGAATACTTGGGACTAGTCAACATCTCGCAAATCCCTCAAATCTTTCAGATCTCTTAGCTTGTAAGCAAGGTGAAGATGGTGACTGACATGAATGATAAGGCACGTTGGAAGAGAAGCGACGGCATTATCGACTCGGACCGTGATGACGGCCGTCCATGACATTGTTGTGCCTGCATCGTGAGACGGCATGGACCCTGCAGTTCAGTTCCCTGCATCCTGTCAGTCACACATACCCTTCAGGCTAAGGTCGTGACTATACAGTAGAGTCAACAGGCCCTCCCGAGAAACTGAATGTGGAATTGTTGATTCAAACAGCTGAGGTATACTATCACCGCCAAACATTATCGAAGAAACACCACCTTCTCCTCCATTCCTGAAGCAATCCAGGCTGCTTCGTGAATGATGCCCAACCCAACACGTTCCATCAAACCCCCATTCTGACTAACCGCCATCACATATAGCAAGCATTCGTTGTAATACTCAAACCTCTCTATGTCGTACCCGTCGTTCAAACTGGTACGGGAAAGGACGATGAATTCGAGGGAAGTCGGCAGGGCAGCGTCCAATGGTAGGACAGCAGTGCCGACCCAAATGGGAGGGGAGGAACCGGAGAGAATGTTGAACAGACCATGGTGAATAGATGCGTTCGATTCTTCACCACGTCGCCGTGCAATGGCAAAGTGGCTAGAAGTCGTGCGGAAAATGAGGGTGCCTGGGTTGAGCGCTCGATGACTGTCTGGGGTCATCTCCGTTGGGTCTATAATCCCTCGCGGGGAAGAATATGTGGACACCTTTCTTTCTGTCTCGCGAATCAAAACAACCCGCCGGGAATCCCTGCGTACATCAAGCTGCACTATAATGCCACCATGGTCCACGATGTACCATGGATCGACAAACATTTCTACCACCGAAGGCTTGGCAAATTCAAATTCGTTCACGAGCCAAGCATCCTCAGGATGGGTCACCAAATACCGATGCTCCGACACGTAGTTAACGGCACCATGCCACGTAGCCCACGACCAGGAGGGCCAGGGTAAACTGCATCCATCAGGGAGCGAACGACGAGTACGAGGTGTGTGTGGATGGTGTTGCCAGAGAAGCGAGTGATGCAGGTCCGTCAACATCATTCCATAGCGAAAGGCTCTGTCTGGGTCACCGAGCCCAAAGGCTTTTGCCAAAGCATTTGTCACTCCCGTGAGAGCATCGACGATGTCTGATTCCACAGTGAGGTTGCGCCGTGTACACTGTCTAACGGCCGCCAAGTAACTCGTGAAAGGGTCTAATGACTGAGGGAAATATTCTGCCCGTGAAAGCTTGAGAAAACTGGTGGAGTCACACTTGCTTTCAGCGATGACGTCTTCACATAAGACATCAAACTGGCACTCAAAGTAGACTTGCTGCCCAGTGAAGTATATCCTTCGGCGGGAAAGTGCGCACTCTTGATAGGTCCAACAACGTGTATTCCATGCGGACAAAGTAAGAGCCTCCTTAAGTCTTGGAGGTGCCGCATAGAGATGAAGTCCTTGAACGACTTCGATATGCTGTTGCGTTCTAGTTTGTGGACGACATCCTGGGAGAGGGTCTCGAGCCGTGGTGCCACCGGCAGCGATTATTGTAAGATAAGACAGGCCGTACACAAGATCCATATTGTTTATCTGAGCAAACTTGTCCTGCGAATTGTCTTGAATGATGCATAGAGTATCGATCCATATGTAACGTTCACCAAGTTGTCGAACGAATAGAATCGAATCAGTGATGGTATCCGGGAGCTTTGCCGTGTTTAACCCGCCAGGCGTGCCCCGCTCTGCAATATTATCTTTCGTCGTCCAATACTCTGCGCCAATCCCTCCCCATATGTAACTGAGAGCGACGTAACGACAACCAGGAGGTGCAGGAACCACGGCCATCAATACTACGTCCACAACTCTCACAAACCCCGGCAGTTTCCTGTTGTCGTGTTCGCCTATTCTCAAGAAACTTTTACATATATCTCCATGGCTCTTGTGGCACAGTTTGATCCATTTCTTCACCATTTTGATATCCACAGTGTTCTTCATCCTGCGACAATGAAGGTCGGCCGGTCTTCCAAACTTGAATGCGTCTTCTTGCATAAGGTGAATGTTAAGCGCACTTGCTATCCTGAAAGCTGGATATCTCTTCCAAAGGTCCTCTATGCCTTCCATCGTGATGTGGAGGCGGTGGCAACGGAATTTGGATGGGGGATAAGTGGCTAACTGAAGACAACCGCAGTGTTTCGTGAACATCCTACATTCGATTCCCGAGATATCAACGTGAGGAAACTTGTCCAACATCCATGTTCGCCGAACATGAAAGGATATGAGGCGGCAGAAACTGCATTGGTAGGATTTTTTTAAGATGGACGAGAGATAATCGAGCGGGATATCCTCCGTCTCCGGGATGCCTTCAAGGAAGATCTGGTAAAAATTCAGATTTGCACAGATGGAACAGAGTAATGCCTCGTCGTCTGACGTGGTGGCATGATCCCTCTGTTCACCCTCTTCGATCAGTGGGTAAGCGTGAATGCCACTGAGTTCCTTACCTGAAGATCAGTTCGTATTTGATCCGGATGCAGAAGTGGGGAATGTGACGTTTGCCTCTGGTTTGCACGTGCGGACGAACTAAAGAACCTAAACTCCAAGAGCAACCCCTCCAATAATTCTAGCAAGGGCCAAACCATGTGTGGAGACCGGACTGAGAGTACTCTCAATAACACCCGTGGTTGGTAGACTGTAGTACCTAGTAGTACTGCCATGGTTTCCTGAATGGTAAAATGAACATCAACCCACGTGACTGAGTTGCAGTACGACAAACCTGAGAGGAACCACACGAGTACTCCGAGAACACGAACGAGTCGCGGGATTCACCAGGACTGGTTTAAATTTGACTCCAGGTTGCAGTTGCGAGTAGGTAGGGCCCCCGAGGCAATGCATTCGTGATCAGATAACGTTACCATGAGCGGTATGTAGGTCAATCTGTTGAAACAAGCTACGAGGACCAGGATGATGACAGAATGGGAATGTTGATGTGATGATAACACGAAACGCATCTCCGACGGAATCCACTGAGTATGGCTCAATCAAATATATTAAAATATTGAAGTATGTAAAGTTTCGGTGTAGTAAATGATTACTCGAAATCAAGCATTTCGATGCTCTGTGAAACATTATGCATTTCTCCCTGCGTTTTTATAAGTGCCATATCCACAATCAGTATCCGATGAAAACTCACAACTTCGAGTGATAACAACATTATCCTGTTTGCATCCATAGTCATATCACTCGCAAGGAACTTTTCCTGAGAAGTCGTCTCGAGATATGGGAGACCATGTCCTAGTGGTTCCAGGAAAAGGGCCGAATTTGGTGTCTCACCTTCAACAAGTCGTTGATGTGATTCAATTGTGTTGCCAGCCTTGAAGTCCATCACCCTATGTGGGTTAAAGTCGCGGATGCGTAATGGTCGCGGCTGTAGCTCCCCTTCACGAGAGACGAGGTCGCCGATCAATTCCGCAGTACGGAATCCAAAGATGCGGTGTATGCAAGAGCTGTAGGAGTTCTTGAAGAATCGGGTGTACTTTGAGCCCCAGGCGGACCAAGGTAGATTAGGAGAATCCCGGGTTGCTTCTCCATAACGGCTAATGTAGATAGATTCGAGTTCCAAGACAGTGTTCCGCTCGATATAGAAAGTGAAATAAGGGGATTTGGTGGTCGTGGGCGCCGACATGCACATATTGATAGCGATGAGCTGGTTATGAGTGCTAGCATGGAATGGAATTGGATTGAAGGTGATGTAGTGAAAAACAAAGGGGTCCCGCAATGCAGGGAAGGAGAATTTGGCAATGAACCGGATCGCATTGACCGAATCAACAATGTCAAGGGAAAACAACATTAGTTCCCTCGCACTGGCGACAAGAAACCTATCGTTCGTTAGAAAACTGAAATTCATCGTTTCGCAATCCACGTCAAAAATTTCGAGGCACTGCAAGTCCAGCTCGGTCCTAAGTCACAGCAAAAACAGAAGACTTTGACTCACCTGAAAAGTATCCTTGGACTTCCAGTTCCAAATTTGCAAAAAATCGACCACCCCACCACCCGCTTTGTGAGCATATTTGCAGAACAAGCCATAATAGTCTCCGAAGATCATAGTTTGCGTGTAGGGGGAGTTGAAGAGCTCTGAATCAATTTGATTGTCCAGTGCTTTCACGAGGGGGAATGCAGCTTCAGGATGAACTTTGTCCTCTGAAAGTGATCTGAAAGTGACGTCGTATGCATGGCTCTCTCTGTTGCCGTCAATATAGGCCATCAACAGATGCAAGAAAGCACTCACCCACGGGCTGCTCTGGAAAGGATAGCCACAAGATCCTGTGCGGGCGAAAAACTATAACCCTCGAATGCTGTGCTGTCAATCTTGCAGCTGCGTTGTCGCAAGTTCGTGGTGTGGATGTCACTATTCGATAGCGCGGGCTGGACAAACTTTATCTGTTCGAGAGATTTAGCTGGAATTCCAAGAATGCCGCACGACCAACGGTAGTTGTCGGGAGAGTAAGACATTGGGATGGAATTTCTTTGAGAGTATTCGGCTTTTTGCCATGCAGTTTCGCTTTTTTGAAGCAATTGGCGACGTGTTGCAACGGCGATGTTGCAGTCAGGCAACGAGGCCGGAATCGCATTGAAGTATCGAACATCAATCAAGTATTGCAGCTCAGAGGAAGAGTCAATGAGTTGTCGAATGTTGCTACATATCTGGAGACGCTTTAGTATTAGTAATTTAGGCACAAAAAATCGTCCTTACTTTGCGTGCTCGGACCAGATCGTATACGTCTAGGTGACCAAGGAAGTTCAACAGTAATTCGGCAGGGAAATCCATAAAATTTATGTGAACTTGATCCATGATTGACAATTTGATACTGCCAGTGACTCGGGAGGTGAGAAATGTGAAAAATTAGGAGATATCAGACATACCTATCAGCAAGAGTGATGATGAACAATTAAGAAATGGAGTGGGCACTAAACAAGGGATGTTCCGTGGACAACTAGCTCTTGCCAAGTTTCGACTTATACGATGCGATGCCAATATAAACGCGGATGTGCGGGCAGAATGACCATGACGTCAATCGCCCCGACCCGTTTTAGTATGACGGAGTTCTCGGAGATAGTCTCCTCCGGAGCCCCTGTGGCGTTAGGGTCATCATTTCAATCACATCATGGTCAACTTTTGTTTACATAATCAGCAACATGCCAAAAGACTCCCGAGCTTGCAAGCAGTATCCATAGCGGTTGCATGTATGGGATAGCTATCGGAAGCTGCCCGTTATATAGTCGACGGCCAGTCTTACACTCGCAGGTCTGTTGACTCTAACTTGGACAGTACAAGATACGACGGCATCAGCTAAGCTGCCAGCGCCCTTGCCCGAACCAGCCGTCACGGTCTGCTGCTAGAACATGGGTGCGACTTCCTGTAGACGACAGTAATGCTTGGAATATCTCCGACGTTTTCTAACGGCGAAGTTGAGGAATGCAATGCCAGTGTCACAGAGGATGTTTCTACATTGCGCGGTGTAATGAGGAGCATAGAGAGGAAAGCCTTTGGAACATCGGAGGTACTGAAATGCCACTGAGGAATAAATGAGATCAATGGGTCGGCCTCCAACTTAGCCATATGATATGCGGCAGTCTCGTAAATTTCATGTATGTTCCATCCAAAGGCGTTCGTAAGACACCAACAACCGATGAAAATTTCCTGTAGAATGAATTCCCCTCCGAAATCCACTGCAGGTGGTCTTCAGATTGTATTTCGCCCAATATGAGATGGAGTTTGCAAAAAATTCGTGGTAACGTTGTACGAAGTTGATACCTCGGGCATGACATGGTAATCTCTTTTGGTGTTTGGGCTGAACGAACATGTACTCTCAGACTATAATAGCTCCATAACGATACTGATATCAGTGTAAAAAACGCGCCACAAAGAAACACGTACATGGCCTGTGCTGCACCATGGAGTCTCGATCCCAAGTGCAACGCTCCAGCCTAGAGACGTGGCATACACGTCATATCTGACAGTAGCTCCCCGAAAGATTCTGTTCATATGTACAAGTTGTACAACGCCACTTATGCGATGGCCGGTCGAAGGCTACTCGCGCATCGGCACTGCCCAGAAGTAGTGCCAGTGAGTACTTGGAACGACTCGAAGACAAGACAAGTTAGAAAACACACAGTAATGGTGCAGCAATACAACATCATGAGCTATTTTTGGGAAACGAAGTTCATGAAACACTTGTTATGGTCAACGCTCGGTGCGCTGTTATGAAGTACAGGTTAATTTTTTATGAGCTGTGTTGGGGAAAAGCAACACGCAATTATGTTTATGCATATTATTATTAATATTATGATAATGTAAGTAGACTACGATATATATATATACATTGGTTGATAAGTCACGCACTTGCCACTAGAAGAGACGCGAACGATCGCTTTGTGGTGTATCTATTAAAGGGCCACGCCACTCAAACACACGTAGCACGAAGCATAAGCCAGGTTGATCTTGAGCTTGACACGATAGTCAATAGTGCACAGAAATGAATTCTTCACCGATTGCTCTATCGAGTTCGACCTAACATTGATATGGACGTCTCTGGTACTACACAATGTTCTTCCCGCGCACACGTTAACCTACTTAGTCCCATTGGATTTGCAAAGAATGATAGTGCAATAAGCAGATTCATTGGCAATAACAATCAACGGGATCGCATCTACAGCGTACAGGTTTTCTGTTTTTAGGGGCTACTCTATCGGTCATGCACTGGGTTCAGCATCCTCGAGAGCGGGTGGGCCATCATCATCAGAATCAGAGTCAGCGGGCTCATCTCCCGATGGGCCGGCACCTGCAGCTCCGCCCATGGAAGCCATCATCTGACGATTGTTATGATCAGTAAGTATGATATAGATGTTTTTAGGTGTGACCCACCTTGCTGAAGTCCATACCGCCCATACCACCCATACCGCCCATGCCACCCATACCACCCATACCTCCCATGCCACCCATACCGCCCATGCCCATGTCTCCCATGCCGCCCATACCACCCATGTCTCCCATGCCGCCGATATCTTCTTCCAAAGGGGCGCCATCTTGCTCGTCTTCATCGACCCATTTGCTGAAATCAGTCTTGACAAATGGCAGCTTCATCTTTTCCTTTGTTAGTCGTGGCCAGTACTCAGCCTTGAGAGCCTTCTTTCGTAACACCACCGCGAAAGACCGCGAGCTCAATTTGCTCAGAGATGCCTAAGAGACGATCAATGACGCGTACTTGATAGTATGATAAAGAAACATACTTCTGTGTCTACTTCATCAAATAGCGGGAGCGAGAACGCATATGCTTTCTTGTCGCTGATGTCGGTAGATAGTGTTAGAGCCACAAATCTAAAGGGTTAAATAGAGCGCTGACTTACGTTGTCGACGTTGCTTTGAAAGAAATCTCGGTAGACGTCAGTTCATATTGGAGACTTTTCTCGTCAATGTCTGGCACGTTCACGGTCAACCAAACGATGTTCTGGCGCGCAATCGCGGAGTGGATCATCAGCACAGGAACGATCAAAGATGAAAATCAAGACACACCTTGTCAGCGACAGAATCACTGCTACGTTGAGCCCATAGAACTTCAGGATGAGTTGTCATCGCGTCTTGGATGGTTGTAAATTTGAGCAAGAGATGAAAAACGTTGCCTTCGAATCACGGGGAAGACGAAGAAACAACTAGTTTTCTCAAGTAATATGCGAGGCCAGAATCAGATCGGCAAACGTAGCCACACAAGGTCACGTGAGTTCGCCTTCCACATTCCACAACCAACATGAAGACGATCTCAAAAGGTCACAGGTGGACATTTGGGGGCTGGGCAGGTTAACAAATGTCTTCATTAGATGGCGAAGAGAAGGCAGCGGAGGAAGTCACGATGACGATGGATGAAAGAAAAGCAAAATTGGAGCAGCTGAGAGCCAAGATGGTGAGTAGTCCTGCTTGCCTCGTACTTATCGTTCACTCTACCACAGCGTTCATCTACGAAAGCCAATCGTGCTTCCCTCATTGAGGAGTCTGCTAGAGCAAAGATGACGGTGAGAGATGCTGCACGGCTAGAACGTCAGCGGAAACTTGCGGAGGTGTTGCGCACACAAGCTGAAGCCGAGGATCGGGGGGAGGACGTGGAACGGCAGAAGAATTGGGAATGGACGATAGAAGAGAATGATAATTGGGAAAAGAAGAAAGCGAGGAAAGCACGAAGAGCAGACTACGAGTTTCATGGTGCGGTGTTTTTGGTCTTCCTTACATCATGTCACTCATGCTCAAGTCTTGTGTAGACGATGCTCACGCGGCTCGACGGCGCTATAAGAAGGATCTCGACCTAATTAAACCAGACCTTGCTGCATACAGTCGACAGAAAGAGGTTGTACTGGGGTTGGCGCCTGGTTCGCTTGCCAATTCTGGGAGTAATTCATCTGCTCTCACAGCCTTTGATCCTTCAGGCGGTCAGGTCCGACAATGCTGCCGACCCTTTCATTCTATCGTATTACTGAGCTTGTATATTTCTAGGTTGTCCCATCTGCTGAACAACGGATGGCTGCAGAGAGCTTCTACCGAGATGCCAATACTCTGCTTTATGCTGACAACAAGCCTACTGAAGATGCCATTGATAGAGTGGTTGGCAAGATCAACAGAGAGTAAGTTGTTGAACTCCGTGGTTTCCCTTGCGGCACTGACATCGTACTGTAGTATCGACAAGAAAGGCAAATTCTCCCGGAAGAGACTCAATGAGGATGAAGGCGATATTACTTATATCAATGAGCGGAATCGGGTGTTCAACAAAAAGGTACGTCATTGCATTTGTTTATATCCTTGAAAATATGAGCTAACGAGTAACAGATTGCACGATACTACGATAAATATACCTCAGAGATTCGGGCTAGTTTCGAGCGAGGAACAGCACTATGATCCCGCATCTCGAGCCACGTCTTGAACAAGAAGTGACAACTGACTTCCTTCTTTCAAGTTCTGACTACGGGAGACTACTTAGTGCCATTTGCACTTAGAGCACACACATCTACTCGCTGTAACATTAATTTTTATGACCTTATATTGATATCGATACCTTGAGATCTGGATTGATCATTGCGTAAGACTAGTCAGTACCTTGTTGTGACGAGTTGTGACGTCGGAGGAATTCGTCACCAGTCTATGGAAAGCCGGAGAGCCGCGCTTTGTTACCACCCGTGACATGGGCCAAATATGGTAGTCACAAGTTGAGGACTCCGTACACCTCTAAAGAGATTCATGCGATCGACAACCTGTAGGTTCATGCATAGTATAGCGCGGCTGTCCGGCTTTTTGTCCTGCAGTTACAGTGTCATATTGTGACGGCGCCGGTGCTAGCCCCGACTTGCTTATTCCTGGCATGTTTTGTCCATGTGTCCATCGAATTAAACGCAAACTAGTTTTTATTTCATTTTTGGTAAGTGATTGCTAATCCTAATCCCATGTGATTCTACTGTCAATGCATGATGCTTTTCGACTCGTAACCGAATGAGTCTGATAATCTTGACCAGTACTATTAGCAGCTAAGCCAAACGTGACAGGACAAACAACCTTTTCCTTTTACCACGCCTTGAACATTCACTCATGGATGGATTTTTCAAGGCCTATCTTGAGTAGAAATAGCTAACCGTTTGGCACCAGAACAGATTAGAAATCTGCTCTTTTGTGGTGCGGATTCGAAACCTGTCGACATGGACAACTCTTCCTAAACTTGGCCAGGAAGCGTCCTGGCCCAAGTGGTTAGCACAACGGAATCAAAATCCGTTTCTCTTGGACTACGCAGGTTCGAAACCTGCCTACCAATAGGGTTTTTTTCTATCGGAACACGCCTTGAAGATTCACTCATGGACAGTTCCTCGGAGGTTCATCTCAACTTCGTCCTCGCCAAAGTGGTTACCACAACGGAATCAAAATCCGTTTCTCTTGGACTACGCAGGTTCGAAACCTGCGGAACAACAGGGTGTTTTTTCTATCGGAACACGCCCAATTCCACGGAGCAACTTCGCCCTGACTGAAGTGGTTACTGCAACATAATCAAAATTTGTCTCTTGGACTGTACCAGTGCAGGTCCAAAACCTGCCAATGATTTTTTTTTCCTTCCGAACACGCCTTGAAGATTCACTGATGGACAGTTCCTGAGAGGCTCATCTCAACTTCGCCCTGGCCAAAGTGGTTACTGCAACGGAATCCAAGTCTGCCTCTTGGCCTCGCACTACCAGTGCAGGTTCAAAACCTGCCGACGAGGTTTTTTCTATCCGAACACGCCTTGAAGATTCACTGATGGACAGTTCCTCAGAGGTTCATCTCAACTTTGCCTTGGCCAAAGTGGTCACTTATCACAGAATCGAAATCTGTCTCTTGGACTGTACCAGTGCAGGTTCAAAACCTGCTGGCGAGGTTTTTCTCTCTCAGAACACGCCTCGAAGATTCACTGATGGACAATTCCTCGGCGGTTCATTTCAACTTCGCCTGGCCAAAGTGGTTACTACAACATAATCGAAATATATTTGTGTCGGACTTGCGCAAGCTCGCAACCTGCCGAAGACAAGGTTTTTTTCTATCAGAACACACTTTGTCATTCACTCATGGACAGATTCCTCGGAGGCTCATCTTAATTGTTCTTAACCAAGTGGTTACCTCAACAGAATCAAAATCTGTTTCTCTTGCAGTCGGTTCGAAACCTGCTGACAACATTTTTGCATGTAAAGATCCTCAGACTGTCTTAACTAGGCCCAGTCATTGCGCTGAAACCTGCTTTTTATGTGATAGTCTGTCCATGAAATATAATTCACCTTCATGCCTCGTGCGGATCGTCTCAGAAACATTAGGTATATCCCTGAGATGTGTACGTGCAAACCTAGATTCTCGACGGACTAACCAAAACTGTCGGGATTCACCACCAAATGAAACATTGATGGAGCTGGAGGTCAGAAGAATGCACGGCACAAGCTAAGGACAGAGTGAGTCTGACGGTCAGGCAGATAGCAGATGATGTAACCTCCCCAGCCTCGCTGGAGTCTCATCGATGAACACTCCTTCGGTCGTTGGCTCTTCCAAAGCGACCGAGGAAGATTCGGAAGCTAAAGGTGGGAGAATTGAAAGTGGCAGACCGAGCCATATCATTCTGATATGTGTAGTTTGCGTGCGCACCTGTTTTGTGTTGATGCGGGGCGGAACATGCTTTCGATTGCCGCAGCAAGACCCGGGCAACTGGACGGAGATATCAATAGAGAGGTCAACGCGAAACTCGTTCATGCGAAGCAGGCTTAGATACAACGGACACAGCATCGCCTGGGAGTTGCTGATCCATTATACCAACAAGACAGGAGGGACCAAAGCCAATGGCGAAGACAGAGCAGAAGACGAGGACGCGGCCATGTGATGAGGTGAACAACGACGGAAGGCAAGAAAGCCCCTCAAGAAAACAAGCATTTGTAAGGAAATTGGAATAGGGGCGAGACAACAGGACAACTGCAATTCAGTCTGGTCTGTCTCGGAGAGTTTGGCACGCGAGGAATAGCGCGCGCGCGTTTGCTCGACTGAGCAAAAGGCTCATGGAGAAGTTCAGCAGCAGAGTTACGTCTAGGAGCCACCAAACACTTATGTAAAGATGAAAAGCAAGTCACCATGCAGGAGGTCACGCACATACTAGTAGTAGTGGTGGTGGTGGGCCGTGGCGATTATCAGCGCTCTGACCGACAGCAAGTGAGCGCGAGTCATCATAGGAAAATCATCAATCAAATGATGGAGACTCGAAGCAGATCTCAGCAGTATGGGTTGAACAATGTTCCGAATCCTGGAATACTGGAAAATTTGCTCAAAACCGAACCAAGGTCTGGTGCAAATTTGCTGACTCGGTGCACGAAGTCCTCTTACCTATTACGGACGCGTGACACTGACTAAGGCAGCGCGGCTGTCTGGCTTTCCATACAATCACACATTTACCAGCGTGTATTTGTACATAAGTACAAGTCAGAAATTACCGTTCATGTGGTGAGTCACTGAAGCAAAACAAGAATGTCTCATTAATTGTGATTTATATGTTTACCAGGTGCACAAGGTGGTTCCTACCGCTGTTACTTTTGCCTCTCCCAACTGCTCAACCATACTTTTTGGTGCTGTTCCTGTTTTCATTAGCTTTGCACGCGAAACCATGGTAAGGTACTGTGTTATGAGTGCGTCCAGGTGATGCTGACATGTTCATAGCTTCTACTGCATTGTACTTCTCGGAGCTCTCTTCCTGTCATCATGTTATTGGCAGTCATTCCCACTGGAGACGCGCCTTTCAATTCCATGGTCCTCCACTATCACCACCTTTTATGACGCATTAGAAACAACCTTACCACCCAATTTCGACCTGCATGAATACACTCCACCAATAATTCGTGTCAATGACAGATGCTGGTGCGATTTTACTTCGGGGATTTTCGAATCATACGATATGCAGAAATGGGAGAGGGAAAGTGTGGAGAAATTGGCTGCAGATATGGTGCAGCAGATGAAGGATCGTACGGAGAAACTCGCCGGAGTAGAGGAGCTACCAAACGCCGAAGAAGAAACATTATCACCTGAAGAGACGCATTTCTCGGCAAATGATAGCGTACACGTCATACCCTCTCAGAAGTCCACATTATCAGCGCTTCGTTCAATGTTCGGTAGAACCGAGGCTCAAGCCACAGCATCCATCACAGATACGGAACCGTCGACAACGACAACGACCAACTCCAAGCCGTCCCCGACGACGTCGCCGCCGCCACCCCTTCGTCGACCACTTGAATTTGACCTTAATCCGTACGGCTTTGATCTCATCCTTGACTTTCATTGGTCTTGAGGTCGACAGAAAAATTAGTGTACGACGCATGCTACTCGACACAGCTTGTATCAATATTTTAATTATAGACTACAAGCACTACTTCTGTTGTATACTATATGTGCCTGAAGTAGACTTTTGAATGCTGTCGAGCGTGTGAATTTCAGCCAAGGCGTCGCGGCAGCTGAGATATTCAGAACCAGAAAGCTTGCAATTTGCTCTCCTTCGCATAAGTATCCACAGTACTCAGTTCCCCCTTCTTTCGCTTTCGTGCGGAATGCGACTAGATGTCCTCAAAGTTTAAGGGAAAGTCAGCCGACCGGCCAGACATTACCCGTGCAGCGTTGGACCCGGAACCGTCCACAGTCCACAGTAAGATGGACTTGGTGTCCAAAACCCTCTTTGCGCCCTTCAATAACAAGAAGAAAGACACCTCGCGTATTCTTACAGACCGTGAGCAACACCCGGCACTATTCATCTCAATCATTTAATATATTCTTTCCAGTCGCCCCGGTAATAATGACTCCCCGTATGATGAACGCAGCGGCGACGGTGTCTTCACGTTCGCGAGGTTCTCTTGGTGCCTCAGCTCCTGGAGGATCCCGGCTGGACTTTGCAACCCTCGGACGCGCTCCAATGCGTCTGACCCTCGGTACCCGCCGCATCACATCACGAGACCTCCAAATCGTCGAGGCAACGGATGAGCTCTTGGACGCTGAGATTCCAGAAACGGAGGGTATTGCGTCTGACGTGAGCTTACTTCGCGGGTTCAATGCCACTGTTCCGAGTTCGGAGAAAAACCGGACACGGCGCAAACAGATGCGGAACGTTGAGACTCCGAGGATTGGGCTGAAAAAGCTAGGGATGAGTGCGAGAGGGATGATGATGGAAGATGAAGAGGAGAGAAGTATTGCAAGTGAAGAAGATGTGGTGGTGGTTTCACGTCTTGATGAGCGAGGGAAACGAAAGGGGAAGAGACGAGGCAGGGAGAGCCTTAGTGCAGCAAAGGCACTTGGCAAGGACGAACTTCGGCGACAGACCCAGGAGATACTACTTGACAAGGAGAATCTTCATGTTCGACGGGTATGTTTCTCTATCTCACATCCCGACCTTTCTAACGTGGTGCAGAGCCTAATTAACAGTGAAATTGTGGAAATTAACAATAAAATCAAAGCACTGGATTCAATAAGAGAGAGGTTGGGACAAGACCTCTTAAAATTGCACGAGGATGAGTTGGAGTTGGATGATGAGCGTAAGAGTCAATTGAATTGTGTACACGAAACTTCGCTGACTTGCAGACAGTCGGGGGTGTGCAGGAACGAATAGAATTCGAGGAAGCTGCCTTCCGCCAGAGTGACAATACCAAAACCGCACCGGTACCTCATGTTGCCCCTTCACGGCGGCGGAGAGGTACGCTTGTTACGAATTTGGCTATTGCATATATTTACCATGTCTTGAAGGTCCCGTGTTCTTACCGTCAGAACATGACGAACTCCCACCAGGAGTAGCATTCATGGTGAGTTCAGCATCCAATCTCATCCTCTGAAACCCCGTCTAATTGGTTGCAGACCCTAGAAAGCCACCTCACACCAATCACCGCTCTTGACTTCTCCGAACCTTACGGAACGCTTGTGAGCGCATCACAAGAAGACTCCCAACCACGGCTTTGGGATTTGATGACAGGCTCTGAAATCGGACGATTGCGTGGGCATCGCGGTGCCGTCAAGTGCATACAAGTTGAGGATAACCTTTGCTTGACCGGCGCAGAGGACGGCAGCGTGCGCCTTTGGGACCTTCGACTGGTAGATGAAGACTGGGAAAGGGATGGTCTTGCCGATGTTGCGGAGGAGGATGAGGGTACCGCTTATGATGGGGAACTCGTCGAAAAGCCGAATGGAATTCGGTCGAGTGAACCTAGCGAAGCAGGCACGGCTGACCAGACTGGACCGTGCATCAGATTGTTTGAAGGGCACAGTAAGGCTGTCACCGCACTTTACTTTGAGGATGAATGTTTGGTAAAGATCTTTCATTCGTTCTTCAGCTCCGTGTCGTCTCACTGCGCATACAGGTCACTGGTGCATCGGACAAGACACTTCGTCAATGGGACCTTGCGACTGGACAGTGTGTCATGACAATGGATATCCTATGGGCTATCTCCCATTCACAGCCCACTATATCAGGTAATGGCATACCAAATCACCTTTTCCCAAGTGCCGCTGCTTCTGCGGGGCACTTCGCCGTTCCTACACCTCCTTCAGCAGACGGTAGTTGGGACATGTATGAAGATTTTGTGGGTGGGGTCCAGTTCTGGGGTTATGGACTCGTGAGCGGTAGCGGGGACGGGGCGGTACGAATGTGGGACAGTAAGTTGCTCTTGTCACTTCTGCCGCATTTGACGCGAAAGTTCTGTTTGTAGTGCGAACGGGACAGGCCCACCGAACGTTAATGGGACATACCGGCCCAGTGACCTGTCTTCAGTTCGATGAGATGCATATTGCCAGCGGCAGTCTCGACAAATCAATACGGGTATGCACGTTGATTTCTTTGGGTCAGTGATGTTCTAAAGTGTGTCCTAAGATATGGGACGTCAGGACAGGCGGCACATTTGAAACCCTCAAGTATGATCATGCTGTGACCGCGCTGCAGTTCGACACCCGTAAAGTTATTGCTGCTACTGGTGAAAATGGGGTGAAGGTGGACCTTTTGGCTGTTTGTGAGTATTGCTGGATGCTAACTCTCTGTCCGCAGATCTACAATCGCACGAGTATGCAACATTCGTCTCTTTCCACGAACGGCCATACGCAACCCGTCGAGCGCATACGATACATGGACCGGTACCCTCGTGTCGGGCGGACGCGATGCTGCAGTAAAGATATGGACTTTATGATTCTCGATTAGAGAGGTCCTAAAGACCTTCGACTGTCGACAATGTTGGTGCCAATTAGAATCTATATATACCTCAACTTAGTGCAGACAGGTCCAGTTGGTTATAACTTAGCACCAACACATCGAATAGATGTAATAGCATACACAAAGTTGCATACATCTCCAAGTTTTGTTTGCAGCTTGAGTTCAGGCTTGTCATATACAGGCATATACAGGGTAACGTCTTGGACCTTAGCGCGCTGGTTAACAAGGAGGGTACGCTTCTGGTCCTCCCACTACAGCGAGCAATGGTTAATGGCAGAGTAACGATGAGCATCACTATTAGAATCTAAGCCAAGATGAGTTTGTATCTGGCAGTGTGCAAATAAAGCAAGCGGAGTGGCGAACGGAAACAAACAAACAAGAAAAAAAGATACACGTAGGCATATAGAAGATATACAAAGCAAGACATGACATAGATAATTTCAACTACAGACAAAGTTGCCGATAAAAAAAACATATTAGGCTCTCCTATAGCCAACTTCCGGGGCGTCACGGCGAGGGGGATAGTCTCTGACACGCTTGTCAGGAGCAGACCTGTCGCCAGAATATCCATTAGCGGCAGGATAGGCATCGTAATGCGCAGAGCGGGGTGGAGGACTCATTGAGCGGCGACTTCTGGCTACATGAGGAATTATGAAAACATAATGTAATAAAGGACTCACCGATAGCGAGGCTGCTCGGGAGAACGAGGGTAGTCCGATTGGCGTGGGGGTGGTGTAAGTGGCCTAGGAATGTAATCCCTTGGAGATAATGAGACTTCAACCACAATACAAGAAGTCGGGCCATACCGGAGCGGTCTATCGTAATCATCGCGGCGAGGAGGGGGACCAGGAGGTGTCCTAGGCCTCGAATTCGTGGGAGGGTACCTATCATCTGGCGGAGGACGCCTTTCATACCGGTCAAAGTCCCTTGGTGGAGGATAGCCTCTCGGTGGAGCATCCCTGTCATATGGGCGATCATACCGGGAAGGAGGTGGCGGCGGAGGTCCCCTCATTCTAAAATCATCATAATCGCGCGTGCGTAGAGGCGGCCCCATTAAATAATCTCTCTGTTCCCTTATAGGCGAGACGGGACGCCGTAAATCTCTGCCAGGAGGCGGCGGCGGATAATCATAATACCTCGCATCCTGTGGAGGAGGGTATCGCGCCGGGGGACCGAAGTCTCTAGGAGGCAAATAATCCCTAGGTGGTAATCGTTCAATCAACCCCACCTCGTGAGAAGAACCCCTAGGAGGACGCCTGGTTGAGAGTAAGTAGTCTTGACAGCGGTGTTAAGATAAAAACTTACGATTGTAAACGAGGGCATTCCCTATTTATAAAGCTATTAGCAACAAATGACCAAGACCATCAACTACGTACCTGGCCCAATGACCAATTTCACCGCATCTGAAGCATGCGCCGGGATCATCAGAGCGCCTGGCAGTGCGTCCGCGACCGTGGGAAAGCTCCACTCGTATTTTGTTACCCATAAAATAACCTTCGTTGTATTTAGCAACACTTTCTTCGGCAGCCTCGCGGCTGTCAAATTCCTGTCACCGAGTCTTCATGAGGTCACTCAAGCGACTAGGAAGCAGTGATAACGTACGACAAAACCGTAACCAATTCTACATGACAGACGTTAAATAAAAACCAACTCCTCAAGCGGAATCAAAGAACGTACTTCAATTCAATGTGTGTGATCCTTCCAATCTTTCCAAAACAACTTTGAAGGTCCTCTTGGCGTGTATGGTCTGGTAAACCGCCAATGTATACTTTGTTCGGCTGTGCAGCACAATGTGTTCAACATGAGGCCAGACAATGAAGCGAATCAGAACAGCGAGAAGACAAGGGCAAGACCAGCGAACAGAGGAATTTGCACGCAAAATTTCGACGTGAGGGTTTAGCGACCAGGGACAGGAGTAGCAAGCCGCTTAGTCGCAGAACCAACTAATCGCCCAGTATCATAGTCTGGAGACAAGATCATTGCGCAGGCGGTAGAGATCCAAGCTAGTGGAGGATTCATCAAGAATAAGAGGAGACCTAAGCACCTTGGATAACTTTTCGCGACCGGAGTCGGTTTTGCTGCCAGAAAACGCCGTTGTCACCGCTGGAGGTACGTTTATGACCAGAGCCGCTGGCCATTTGCCCGGAAGTCGTTTCGTCTGCTGCCAGAGGCGCGTCGTCGACGAGGGGGTCAGCACTGGACATGGGTCCCATGTTATCTGGGTCTTCACCGAAGCCCCATTTGTCATTGGTGTCTTGCGCTGCTAGCGGTGATGCAGCCATCTTGGAGGTTTTGGGGCAAAAATATTCTGAGAGGGGATCAACAGAACATGTCATAAACAAACAAATTCTGCCACACTTAGACAAAACATGTTCAAACACAATTGGAACGGCGAAGGAGCGAATATAACTACAAATATTAGGGTAGTATTGTGGTAGTATATCAATGGATATACAGAAAAAATAGTCCATTTATGCAAAAGTCCATCACGTAAATAAAATTCCACCTCAAGCTATGGTCCAGAGCCCACTAGCGATACCAACTGAAACAAGAACTCCCATGCCCATCAGGGTCCTGGCATCAGCGAGAACAACTGATGCGGCGTTAGGTGAACTACTACTTGTACTGGAGCTCGATGATGACCCAGAGGGGCTCAGGGCTCCTGCAGGGAGTGTGGGGACGGACGTGCCCGAAGCACTCGCGAGACAGGACGATGCAACGGTATTTGCAGCGCTGGCACTGGATGGTGCCTTGCTATTGACGGTCCCGTTCCCACCGAAGCTACATGATTGAGCGTTGGCCCCGTTTGCTATGTAGTAGTCGCTCATCACATAGGACAACATTATGGCTACGAGAAATGATCAGGGCTTGCGCTATGCAGCGTTCTCACGTCATGAACTTACTAGGGTCGCACCCAGATACCGCGCCGTATTGTCCTGTTGTCCCGTTAGAAGAAATTGCGCTGCAAGATCCGCCAGACTGTCCGATGAGGCTGCACGCGTAGTCTAGCAGCGATCCAACGATTGCTGTGTAGTTACTGGTCGAAGGCGTGAATTGGCAGCTGAGATTGTTTTCGAGACATTGGCAAGCAGAGAAGTTAGGCGTGGGAGGAAGAGTGTTGGAGGCAAGCCAGCTTGAGTTCTGTTGAAAGCACGATGGATAGGTGGGAGTACCGGCACCGCTCTGCGAAGGCGAATTAGGTGGCGACGCAGCAGCATACTGAGTCTGTAGGTTGGTGAAATCACTGCTGGTAGTGACAGTGGATCCATCAGGTGAGATCGTAACCATACCAAACTGTCCCTGAGCGCTCGTAGCTGGAAAGTAAGAGAATGCAACACCACCAGACCAAACGGGAGTCATCTGCGAGCTAAAAAGCGCCGCAACTTCTGTCCACAGACGAGGGGGAGAAGTAATGCACCCGTATTCGCTGAAGTAGGCTGCAACATTGTAACCCGCAAATTGTCCTTCTATACCAGCATAAGAAGCCTCATAGGTTGAATTTCCACACCATTCACTGCAGGACGATGTCAACGATCGACAAATGAAATACCAATGATTCAAACTGACTAGTTATTCAACCCGAATAAATCAAGGGCAGTTGCACCGGAGTTTGACCCAGAGGGATCACAGGACAAGTAGTTAGCCAAAGGGTCAAGCCATGTAGCATCACCGTCGATGGACGCATAGCCAACGAGCGCGCTAGAACTGATAGAATTACTGGGAGAAAAGACATTTAGCTTCATGGGAACCGATCTGGAAATTCGGGTTTAGCCTACATGTATGCTTTCACATCGCGAGCAGCCGCCTTGACGAAGGTAGCAGCAGCGGTACCGTTAGCTGCGATGACGACTTCATTTCCAACGTTGTAAGCCAAAACGTTGTTGTATTTTGAGAAGACGCTGATGGTCTCGATGTATAAGTCAAGTAGATTGGTGGTCCAGGTTGGCGCGTCGCGATCCATCGAACCATTCCCAGGAAGAGAAAGATCGATGCTAGACAGTATCAAAGGGCTGGTAGGCTGAGGATTCTGCATGGATACTCACATAGTATAAATACCAGCATTGCTGAATGTTTGCATACAAGAGTCGTGGTTCAGCGATGAGTTAACGCTGTAGGCACGGATGGTATTGACACCAAGCTGCTGCAGGTAGGGAAGGTCACGGGTGCAGGCAGTGCCATTGGCCAAGGGATCGATAAAAGTGGATGGCTCAAGAAAGGTATTGCTTGCGCTCGCGATCACCGCACCTGCATCCCATTGTGAGTATTGACATAACATTTGACGATAGCAAACATCAACTCGATGTTTACCGATTTGTCCTTACCTTGCTCCTGGTAAGCTACACCTTTGATATAAAACCTGTTCCCGTCCGCAGTATAAAGGTATCTTCCATTGCGAGTTACCGTCTGAATAGCAGCGTCAACGCCACTCAGAAAAGCACCTGCTAGAGCAAGGCCAGCTGCGAAGCGTGAGCTCGCTCGCATGATATCTCGCTCAGAGATTTTAGGAAACGGGATGAAGAAGTGATGCAGACGGCTGTGAATGCCGTGACTTTTGTAGTAGGGAACGTGTGGTTGTTGTGGTCGTGGTATATACTGCAAGTTAATCTTGACTGTGGCGGGTTCGACAACTGGGAAGACACGGAAGAGTCCGGTTTATGTAGTCATACCCGTATATGGCAGGCGGCTGCGTTCACAATAATAATGGCCCGATCACTGATCAGACAGGCTTCGAAGTTCCAGGCCTTGGAGCTGTTCGTCATATGTCGGTCACTGGGCCGAGCGCAACGTACGGTCAGCACCACCCGTGTGGCTTACGCCTGCAGGCAGGCCATCTAGAAGTGGCTCGTATTAAGCATATCAAGTCAACCGGGAAGACTGCATGAGTAACAAGAAACTGTTTGCCAACCTGTGCATGCTGGGTACGCGTACCTCGCGCAGATCATAATTTTTGATCTCACACGATGTCTTGCAGTGGCATTTGTGATCAATTTGCCAAGGGCCGGTTCAGTTTCAAAAATGACTCATGAGCCTGCTTGCTTGACTCGTCTTGGCATGTTGCTTGTTTCAAGTTGGAGGGTGGTGAAAGCAAGTCATCGTCATTTTGCCTATCCAATAACTGAATACTTATGTAGCAGAGCCAGAGCGTTGCTATGTGAATGAATGTTATAAATACTTCAGGCACAAAGGCGTTTTTTGAATCAAATCGACAGTCTAAGTGTCAGACGTATAACCTTGTTTGGAGATGAGGCTCCTGAAGCAGGGTCAGTGTTGAGTACTGAGCCGCGAAAATCAATGAAATACACACCTTTGCAAGTTTCTGCCCTTCGGACAAAACAACAAGGCAAGACGGCAAACCCGTCAAGCACCACTGCCTTTCGAGCCAGGACAAGAGATAACATCTCCAGAAAGACTTGAACAGATGTTTGAGCGCGTTGTCCCATGGATGAGGTGCTCGTGAGAGATGGAAGGCCCAATTTTGACATGCATAATTGAGAGCGTCGGAAGCTGACTGGCTTCTTCCCCGTGCTTCGTCTGCGAAACTGGTAAATGCCCTCATAGCATGGATGATCTCCACGTCTGGTGTAAAACGAGCTGCAGGTGTGGAGCAATATTGTTGTCTCAGCGCGAGAAACACCGGAAACATCAAGAAATCTGGGAAGTTCTTGAAATGCTGGATGACTTGAAATGCTGGCATTTCCGGGTCGATAATGTATTCGCTCAATGCCTTCGACATGCTCGAGAACTCTTCCATCGTCACCCAGACAGACGCTGCAGGAGTCGACCGCCATGCTTGGCCATGAGGTGTCTGTAGCCAGTCTCGCCCGCTACTAGTCTGAAGCCAGCATCTCCCACACCGAGTCTGTACCCAGTCTCTCCCGTCCTCAGTCTGCAGCCAGTCTTGCCCGACCTCGGTCGGGAGCCAATCTCCCCCTCTCCCGGTCTGCAGCCAGTCTCTTCCACCACTTGTCTGCAGCCAGTCACATCCACCCCTGGTCTGCAACCAGTCCCGGCCACCCCTTATCTGCAGCCAGTCCATTCCCCCTTCAGTCCGCAGCCAGTCCCGTCCACCAAGTGTCTGTAGCCAGCTTGCGCCGCCCGAAGTGCGCAGCCAGCGTCGCCCACTTTGGGTTTGCAGCCAGTCTGGGCTAGTCGGTGTCTGCAGCCAGTCTCGACCACTACTGGTCCGGAGCCAGTTTCGGCCACTCTGGGTCTGGAGCCAGTCTCGTCCACCTTGGGTTTGTAGCCATTCTCGCCCGCTCTGAGTCTGCAGCCAGTCCCGCCCACCCCGGGTCTGCAACCAGTCTCTCCCACTCCGTGTTCGCAGCCAATTTTGTCCACTCCTTGTTTGCAACCAGTCCCGTCCGCCCCTTGTTTGCAGCCAGCTTCGCACACGTGGGGTCCGCAACCAGTCTCGTCCACCCTGGGTCTGCAGCCAGCCTTGCCCGCTTCTAGTCATCATCCAATCTCGTCCGCTCCTGGTCTGTAGCCAGTCTCGCCCACTTCGGGTCTGTAACCACTCTCGACCGGTACTGGCATTTAGCCAGTCTCGCCCACCCGGGCTTTGCAACCAGTCTCGTCCACTATTGGTCTGCAGCCACTCCCGCCCGTTGCGGGTCTGCAGCCAGTCTCGCCCGCCCTGGGTATGCAACCAACCTTCCCCACCATAAGTGTGCAGCCAGTCTCTCCCTCCTTGGGTGTGCAGCCAGGCACGTCCATCCAAGGTCTCGAGCCAGGGCTGTAGATCTGAATTGCGATGTCCGCGAAGCCATAACATACTACTAAGAATGTGCAGTGGCTCCGGCGGTTGGACGATGAAGGCCAACGAGTCTTTTAAACTGTTTGGGTCACCGGGTGACATAATTTGGCTATGCTTCTTCAACTTGGAGAGTACATCGAGCAGAGCAGTGCTTTTTGGAATATCTTGCATCATCAAACGGAAAGAGGAATGGGCGAGCAGGGTATGGGGTGGGGTGATAGGTTGTACTTGAGGAAGGCTGCAGTTTGAGGGATCCGAAACATAGTCACGAACGGACGAGTGGTGGATATTTACGGGGAGATGGCTGTCAGTCGGAATATCCATAACAGATCGCAGCTGTGCCAATGTTATTTCGACATCCCTCCCCTGAGCAGGGCCAAGAAGTTTCGAGATCTGTGAAATTGGGAGAGGATCCGCAAGGGCAGCCACAACAGACAAATGCATGTATGCCCGCTTGGGGTCAGCACACGTGAAGAGGATATGGTCATATAACTTGTACACCTCCGTTCCTGGCAGCAGGTCACT